ATTTTTTTTTTGTCTTTTTATTTAACCTTAAATACAGTTCTTCAGAATCAATGCGTATCAAATGGATATTTGAATTTTAGAATTCATTCTGCAATAAGGTATCGGGTTTTAATTGATAAGGACCGTAAGATTTTCAAGTGTTATACTCCAAATCTATATCTGTAGATAACATTAGCTCGAAGACTTTAAGCATAAGTAAAACATATTCTAAGCATTTCCAGCACTATTCATAGAATTTTCATTGCTATGACAACCTGATGCGTTCGTCATATAGTGTGACTATGGTCTGAGAAAAGTGAGTTTGGTTTTAACTTCATAAGTGGTTAAGGATATTAAAAATGTAATTAGGCATGAAGTTTGAAACAGACGGCTGAGCGTGTGATTGACAGTAAAAAATAGAGCCTCGTTAAGCTCACTTCCGGTTTATGTATCCAGCATCTTTGTGCTACACCGGAAGTTATTCTATGGTGCAATATCATATCTTCCTATAGCGTCCAGTATGGTTTGTTCGACTTATCAAATTGTAAAAACTACTGCCTACTATAAATATGGGCTCAATTGAAGATATGTTTGCCATTAAGCTAGATTTGAAATAAGTGTTTCAATTTCTTTATAATCACAAAGAATGTATATCTTAATGTATCTTAATGTTTTTCTAGTATAAAATCTTTAAGTAAATTTTACAAACTGCAGGAGATGTTGTTCTATAAGATGTACGTATGTATATATAAACGATAATTTCATTTCTAAAATCCGATACCAAATTAGACAACAATTACCTAGTCTTCGATACTTGACACCTATCAACCAACCAAAACGGTTAGACAATCGATTACATTTTCTGAACATATTGATTTATTACATAACAAAATAATCGATCAATTATATCAAATTGGTAATAAAAGCCTAGATGTAAAGTTTTCATTTTCAAAAACTAGTAAATTCAATTATTAAATATGCTATTTACATTTAGGTACCTACTTGATGAAACAGACTTTGTTTAAAAGGGTTAGTTAAAAAAGGAATGTACTAATTAATAGTAAAGAAAGCAGTTTAAACAAGACCTGTCAACTTGTTTTAGTGTTTGGTCTCATAACGAATCGATAATTTGTTGTGTATTTTTCGTAAATTTTTTCCACCTACGAAAAAAAACCAGAATGCCCCTTTAAGAAAGAAAAAACCAAGATAATTTATCCATGACAACAACGTTTAACTATTTTTTATACTCAGATCAGATATTTTTACGTGTGAAAAATTGCCGTCTGCATGTTAGGCATTATTTATTCAACCTTCTGACTAATCCGAGCAGTTGAAATAAAATTTTCTTAAGATTATCAGCCTGATTAGGTTGGAACATTGTAGATTACATGTCAAATCGTAGAATCTGGAAACCTAATAACAGGCACAGTTTGAAGTTTACACAGCAACTTTTTTCACCAACGCACAGTAATTTGAGAAGACCCACAGCGCGTGCTTGCAGAAGTCAATTCAGTAGGACGCCCTCTATCGGTCGGTGACAGAGTACTGACATATCTGAACATCTTGAAAACTTTTAACAATCTGGCAATTTCAATGTTTTAGATATTACCAAGTTTACAAATTGTTTTTAACGTCGATTATTTGAATTAAATTGTAGTAAAGTGTGAAATATTTGTTTGGTACGTTTCAGTTGTATTTTATTTATTTTAGCAGATTTGTCATCTTTACGTATGATATTTTTAACAGGCGTGACTCAGGGCTTTCAACTGCAAGACGTTCTTTTACTGCGTACGATAAAGTTGGGAATTCACAGATTGGCGTATTACACTACACATTTTCAGTGCATTACGCTACTTCTCTCAGTGCTCACACGGCGAACAATTGGCCAGTCGCAGTTGAAAATTGACAACATAAGGTAGTAATAAATTTAAGAAGTTCGAAGTTTTTGGAATGTGGGCTCAGGGCTAAAACGAATATGCATTATGACGGCCATAGAAAAGCTATTCCATTACAGATTGAGACATTATTATAATATGTTCGGTCATGTCTTTGGTGGTATAGAGACACTGACTGAATACCATTTCCGTTCTATATTCTATACAGTCTTGGTAGGATGCTGTTCTGGAAACATTCCCTTCAATGTACGCTTTATGTATGCTTTTTCCTAGTGTAGTGAAATAAAGCAATTCGAAACCCAAAGTAAAGATAGTTAATCATCAGTTCGGGTGATCATCAGCTAGAAATGTAAATGACTCTTCGTGATATCGTATATAAGGCTATAAATCTGAACGAAAAAAACCTATAGCATTTAGTAAATTGAAAGATGGCGTCTTGAAATAATTTGTTTTTCAACGTGTGTTACCCATCACAGTTTTATCTGATATCTTTGGCTGACGTTTGGGTGGCCGCTGATTTTTATCAAGCTCATAATGCGGTCTTCAATGATGGTTGCCGTAGATAAAGGGCGTTCAGTTTTATAACAGTCAAGTGGCTTCGACCGATCTGTATCTTTACTGTAGCCATGCAGTAACTGACGCTTGCTCACTAACCTGGATGTCCAGGGTTCAATCTCGGCTTAGGTCGAGACGATGCCTTCGGATTTTTCAACCAGGTTAGAGGGGTTGACATTAAAAAAGCGTATGGTCGTTCAGAGGGGACCGCGTGCTACAGACTGTGCACGTTAAAAATCCTTTAAAAGTCGGAAATCGAAAGGAGTAGGCTTATGTCGGTGTCCTATCAAAATATATTATACTTAATTAATTAATACTTAATATTAATTTCTTATCAGAGATCACGTGACTTTCAAAAAGTAGACCTTGCTCTCATGACTGTGTATTAAAAAAGCAAAACGAAACTAATCTTCATCCCAGCTGTACACAGTGCATTGAACCATAAATATTAACAAAAACAAATTATTATGTAGAAAATCTAACTAATTGGAAATATAAATAGTATATAACACGTTATAAGACTAATTTGAAACCATATAACGTGTTAATACAATCAATTTTTACTGAAATGAAAATATTTTCACCGTATCATATTGACTATAAAACAGGTGAAGGTGGTTACATGATCTTCAATTAATCTTAACATTTACCTGTCAATCAGATCAAGATCTGTGTTTTCAAACTAATTAAATTCACGCTTTGTCGCTGTCCTGAATGTATTAAATAAGGAGATTTGTGATATATAATAAAATCAATTACTAATTTGTGATATATAATAAAATCAATTTCTAATTTGTGATATGTAATAAAATCAATTACTAATTTGTGATATATAATAAAATCAATTTCTAATTTGTGATATATAATAAAATCAATTACTAATTTGTGATATATAATAAAATCAATTTCTAATTTGTGATATGTAATAAAATCAATTACTAATTTGTGATATGTAATAAAATCAATTTCTAATTTGTGATATATATAATAAAATCAATTACTAATTTGTGATATATATAATAAAATCAATTACTAATTTGTGATATATATAATAAAATCAATTACTAATTTGTGATATATATAATAAAATCAATTACTAATTTGTGATATTACTAATTTCTGATATATATAATAAAATCAATTACTAATTTCTGATATATATAATAAAATCAATTACTAATTTCTGATATATATAATAAAATCAATTACTAATTTGTGATATTACTAATTTGTGATATATATAATAAAATCAGTTACTAATTTGTGATATATATAATAAAATCAATTACTAATTAATTTGTGATATATGATTAAATCAATTAAATGGTCTTAAATTTTGTTTTGTTCAGCATACATTTTGGTGATTACTTTTTTGCTGGAAACAAAACCTTCGCCTGGTGTTCTCTCGTCTGTTTTTAGGTCCAAGAGTAAGAAATTCAGCCTCTTGACAACACTATTTTATAGGGAGCGCTACAATTTGATCACAGGTAAACTTATCACGTGGTTGATTGGTGATTTGGTTTAGTAGAAATGAGTCACTGTTACAAATGTTTTCTTTGTGACTAATCAGTGGGACCAATGTGACCAAATTACTCCAGTTTTCTCTGTGACCATATTACTGAGACCAATTTAATTTGTGACCAGTTTAGAATGTGACCAAATTACTGGAACCAGTTTTCCCTGTGACCATATTACTAAGACCAGTTTAATTTGTGACCAGTTTACCTTGTGACCATATAACTTGGATCGTTTTACTTGAGGCCCCCTTCGACAATTATGTAGCCATCCGTAATACTCTATAGAAACGCCAATGTTACTGGGATCAGTTTACTTTGTGACCATATTACTTGGGGTCAATTAATCCTGACACCATATTACCCTTTAGTCCTTTACCTTGTGCTCAGCAATGTGTTTGTAATTTTGCTATTTTTGTTATCAGTTAAACTTGTTAAAGGTAGGCAACTCTATTTATTGACCTCGCTGTTCTGTTGTGACAGTTATCAATAGGCTGTTTTGCATGCCGAAATATTTTTTGCCAGAAACCGATAGTTACAGTATTTCTCTATAAGTGGTTTTATATGAAATAAAAACAGGAAACATAAAAAAATATTTTAAAGGCAATTTGATAAACACATAAACACATAAATATTAGTAGTTACATACATTTTTATACGCCCACATGAAATGGGGGGGGGGGGGGCATATTGCCGTCACCCATGTCCGTCCTCCCGTCCACAATTGCTCGTAAACACTCTACAAGACACTATTTTTGACGGATTTTGACAAAACTTGGTATGAGTTTTCGTAATAACCCAAGGATGAACCCTATTGAAAATCAGAAGAATCGAAAAATATTTAGTATGAGTTATTGCCCTTGTTCTTGAAAACGCGTTCAATTTTTAGCTCGTAAACACTCTAGAAGGGACAATTCTTGATGGATTTTAACGAAACTTGACATGAGTGTTTGTTTTCAACCAAGTATAAACCCTATTGAAAATCAGAAAAATCGAAAAATATTTAGTATGAGTTATTGCCCTTGTTCTTGAAAACGCGTTTTTAGCTTCTTGTACAAGTTATTTGATTTACAATATAAATCTCTATGCAAGTTATTTGATTTACAATATAAATCTCTGTACAAGTTATTTGAATTGCAATATAAATCTCAGTACAAGTTATTTGATTTACAATATAAATCTCTGTACAAGTTATTTGATTTACAATATAAATCTCAGTACAAGTTATTTGATTTACAATATAAATCTCTGTACAAGTTATTTGATTTACAATATAAATATCTGTACAAGTTATTTGATTTACAATATAAATCTCTGTACAAGTTATTTGATTTATATTATAAATCTCTGTACAATTTAACTGATTTACATTTTAAATCTCAGTACAAGTTATTTGAATTTCAATATAAATCTCTGTACAAGTTATTTGAATTGCAATATAAATCTCAGTACAAGTTATTTGAATTACAATATAAATCTCTGTACAAGTTATTTGAATTACAATATAAATCTCAGTTCAACTTACGTTCTTAATCTCAGTATGGAAGCATAACTAAATTCATTGGACTCGGTTTATACCCATTCAGCAATCAGTTCAGTAATGTCGTCTCTCCCTTGCATTAATCTTGAATTAATCTCACCTATTTCGGCTCCCACTTTCGATTTAGAACCTTTATGAATATCAACAGACGTAGTTATGATGCACCAAACATCTACAACTATAAAAACAGCACTAAGAGCGCCCATTCCATATCTTACCCCCTTTGGTAATGTAGATGGATTTTTCAAGAAACCCTTCAGCGCCGCTAGAAATTCTTTTATGTTCAGGTTTGCCAGTTTACTATATCTCAATGTATTCATTGCTTCCTGAAAAGGCTGCTTTAAACCACATACGCTTATTCCCGAACCCTTCATAACCTTTTTAAGGATGTCGAATGCCATTTTTACTCGTTCGTCTTTAATCACTTCCTGAATTCTTCTGATAAATTCTTGAATAGTAACCAATGCACTTTTCCCAAATTTCTTCAACCTTACCAAATAGCTAAACCTGTCTGCGATCTCGACCAGTTCCACATTTGTAAACTGGGCAGTCTCCAAAAAATTTTCTATATTATGCGCAACTTCAACAAATTTTTTCATTTCTTTAGCCAAACCTATAGAGCTACTTTTATCACGATCTATATTTTCTTGAATGTTTTTACAACGGAAATGAGTTATTCCTAACTCAGTCAGTGAAGATCCGAAAGCAGTAACACCGCCTGTTAGGCTAGCTATGGTTCCACCAATTGCTAGGACTGCTGAAGCACCACCAGTTACTGGGGCAAATAAAAGACCACCAATGACGGCTACACCACCCAAGGCACTGACTGAAGTTCCAGCTAGCGAAGCGATGTTGACATTCTTGTGATGCTTGTCTAAATCTCCGACCAGTTCATTCAAAACGGAAACTGTGTAATTTCTAATATCAACCCACTCTGTACATGTTCTTATAAAAGACTCTGTTGCTTTATCTTGTGCATATAACAAGTCAATGAACAGATCGGCTTGACCTCTTTTGATGGAAACTTCCATTTCTGAAAAATATTACGTCATATTAAATGGTTATAATAAGAGCTCTACGATTTAATCAAAGCCAGTAGAATGGAATTTGAGAATACACGAGGTACGGGTCTGGACACTGTAAGATTCACTTCTGGTAAGTTCTACTGTATCGATAATCCCGCCCCGTACTTACTACCTGACAACGTACCTCGAATATAGATGGCTTTAGACATTAAGAAGTATAGTTATTAAATCATTGGGAGCAAACTTTGAGTAAGAAGTATATCAAGACAAAACGTGGGCGTTTACCATCCCTTAAGGGTTTTTTGTTACAAACTTATATATGGAGTAATTAAAGTTATTCCGATGACCGAGCGTCCTGATATTTTTATGATGTTAAAATGTGAATTGAAAAGAAAAAATCGGTGGACAATGGTACATCAAAATAGCATACTCTATGTCAACAGATAGTCTATTTTTAGACAAAGAACAGCTTGGTCTACACTAGTATCAGTATTGTATTAGTATTCTAGAACATAACTATACATCTATATTACTTTACCTCTATCAACTTGTATGTAGTTTAGGACTCCTTCTGATCTTTCTTTGGTCCACTTCCCATTGAGTCAACAAACTTGGCAGAACTGATGAGAATTTCCCTTAAATAAAATTTCAAGAGATATAATCAACGACAGGTTTGCGTTTGTTTTTTTTCGTGGCTTTGTTGCAAGTGTATTTTCCAATGTTACTTAAAATAGAACAATCCAGTATGGTTGTCCGAAGAGGCATCTATAATTTGTACAATTTGTAACGGTTTTACAATTAAATTTCATATTTGATGGTCATTACGAAGTATATGAATAATTGCTGGTTTTCATTAGATCTGTATCAATTTGAGAGGTTCTCTGACATCAAGCGCGGCCAAAAATGTTGTAAAATGTAATTGTGACTCAGACAGACCACCGTAGTTATGTGACGTAATTATAAATACAAACTATGTTACATGTAATAATATAATAATCTTAATAGTACCGTACATATTATACACAATCTATGTTAAAGTGTATGGAAAGTCAATTATGGGCCACTTGACACCTACCGTGAATGTTTCTATATATCCTATTGTATCCAATTCCAATCTTATAATCGATAATAAAGATACATGTATAAGTACAACAAAGACGATTTGTGTTTAATTCCCGTTTGTTTACAAAGACAGTCCGCCATTACGTCGTATTATTCACATGACCACATGACGTCATTTTTGTAACCATCGTTAACCTCATAACCTTGATAGGCTACCTTAATGTTTATGATATTTACATCAAAATGCCGAAGCGCGGTGTCGCGCAATTTTGCAGCTATACCTGTAAAGAGAACAGTTAACACGGCTTTCCAAAAGACGCTGGTATGGGTCAAAATCGTACAATTGAAAAGGGCTGTATTATAAAATAGTTTTAATCTTATAATGACTTGTTCCGTAGGATCACTAATAAAATGAGTGTGGATAATTCATACAAATAACGACCATATTTCTCCACTATCCCATTCATCATGGAATATCTCAAAGACTAATCAAGATATTTTAATTCTGTAAATTTTTTCATTGAGAGGAGATATGAATATTTTGAAGCGGGCGATTTTTAATACAAAATGAACGCTACGAACCAGTCATTATAAATTTATTTCCCAATCGATCTCCATTTTCATGAATTTCGGCAGTGTCATCGTCCTGGTTTGGCCTTTCACTGTCAGTCACCCCTTGCCGAGGTCACCTAACTGGCTCGAACTGGTAGCCCACCACACCCCAAAACATTTCGTATTCATCTTCTTCGTCTTCAGAATGAGATGAACTATGAGTGCTTGACGAATCGTTTTCATTATAATACATAACGCCTCTTTTACTGGACATAAAATTATATATTTATCAGTTGGACTTGCTAGGTGGAATAGAATCACTTTATAGAACGATATATCTAAATATAATTAACCAATGAACATGCAGATGTGTGATTATATGTGCATGGAGCATGACCTTCAGCGTGAACTTATTTTGTGTACTCTACTGACTGTCATGTGCCAAAACCGTGCAATCATAAACAATGTTAGACTAAATAATTATTGAAACAAGCTTCTAAACATGTTTCAAAATGACTTTATGTATTTATTGGATTATAGAGGGTTTGTATCGTATAGTTATGACACCTGGTAGGTCCACTGATGAACAAAGACTCATTTAGACCAAATTTAAAAATGTAAATATTTTGGACACTTGAGGAAGTATTCTACCTGTAAGAGTAAGCGGATAATTTCTATAGAGTCCATGTTTCTAAAAACTTACCAGTTGCTAATTATAACTGCTAGATTTTTCTAGCTAAAGGGGTTCTATCGTATAGTTATGACACCTGGTAAGTCCACTGGTGAACATTTGGTCATCCAACGAGGTTTTCTACCTTTAAGAGTAAGCGGATAATATATAAGATTTCTAAAAACTTACCAGTTGCTAATTATAACTGCTAGATTTTTCTAGCTAAAGGGGTTCTATCGTATAGTTATGACACCTGGTAAGTCCACTGGTGAACATTTGGTCATCCAACGAGGTTTTCTACCTTTATGAGTAAGCGGATAATATATAAGATTTCTAAAAACTTACCAGTTGCTAATTATAACTGCTAGATTTTTCTCCGAGAATGTTCGTATATGTGTTAAACCTACAACTGCTAGACATTTCAAATGACACTACCTTCTCCTATATATATTACATTTAGGATCATTTTGACCAAAATATATACATGAAAAGGTTTTAACCGTTTTTTAAATGAACACAATGCTCTGGTTTTTCTTAGAATAGATTCTCACCTGTACATTGAGGACTTTTCAGAATTAAAACTCAGCACCTAGTGACAGTTTCTTCAAATTTATTCACTTGAGTTGAATGCTCTTAATAATATATGGGGCATATTAAAGATAACAATTGGTGACGACTATTCATAATGGCGGCATCATGTTTACTATTTGGTGTTGTAACTGATATTATAACAGCGATATGGGTTTATATTGGACGAAATCTCCCCTTTCATATTTTAGCTTATGCCATGTTCTTCCCTACACTATTGTCCTTGTGTTTTGTTACCGATTATGTCGAATATTTCTGGAAAATCGTGGGCACAGACCAGGTTTGTTTACATATTTTCAATAGCTTTATTTATGCATGGCCTTATCAAACAATTTCATTTTAATTTGATAAGATAACTGGATATTTTACATTATATTTTATTATTCTAGCATCAATCTCAATCATGTTATAAATGAAGTAAAAACAAAACTAAAGTTAAATATTACTTACTGATTTGCTGTCAAGTAATGTACAGGTTTATTATGTTGTATTTCTAGGTAATATCAACAAGTACTAACCATTCCATTATCATTTCACTTGTTTTATTATCAACAAGTACTAGCCATTCCAATATCATGTCACTTGTTTTATGTTATATTCCTAGGTAACATCAACAAGTACTAGTTATTCCATTATCATGTCACTTGTTTTATTATGTTATATTTCTAGGTAATATCAACAAGTACTAGTTACTCCATTATCATTTTACTTGTTTTATTATGTTATATTCCTAGGTAACATCAACAAGTACTAGTTATTCCATTATCATGTCACTTGTTTTATTATGTTATATTTCTAGGTAATATCAACAAGTATTAGTTACTCCATTATCATTTCACTTGTTTTATTATGTTATATTTCTAGGTAACATCAACAAGTACTAGTTACTCCATTATCATTTCACTTGTTTTATTATGTTATATTTCTAGGTAATATCAACAAGTATTAGTTATTCCATTATCATGTCACTTGTTTTATTATGTTATATTTCTAGGTAATATCAACAAGTACTAGTTACTCCATTATCATTTCACTTGTTTTATTATGTTATATTTCAAGGTAATATCAACAAGTACTAGTTACTCCATTATCATGTCACTTGTTTTATTATGTTATATTTCTAGGTAATATCAACAAGTACTAGTTACTCCATTATCATGTCACTTGTTTTATTATGTTATATTTCTAGGTAATATCAACAAGTATTAGTTACTCCATTATCATGTCACTTGTTTTATTATGTTATATTTCAAGGTAACATCAACAAGTATTAGTTACTCCATTATCATTTCACTTGTTTTATTATGTTATATTTCTAGGTAACATCAACAAGTATAAGTTACTCCATTATCATGTCACTTGTTTTATTATGTTATATTTCTAGGTAACATCAACAAGTATAAGTTACTCCATTATCATGTCACTTGTTTTATTATGTTATATTTCTAGGTAATATCAACAAGTATTAGTTACTCCAATATCATTTCACTTGTTTTATTATGTTATATTTCTAGGTAACATCAACAAGTACTAGTTACTCCATTATCATTTCACTTGTTTTATTATGTTATATTTCTAGGTAACATCAACAAGTATTAGTTACTCCATTATCATTTCACTTGTTTTATTATGTTATATTTCTAGGTAACATCAACAAGTATTAGTTATTCCATATTTCACTTGTTTTATTATGTTATATTTCTAGGTAACATCAACAAGTACTAGTTACTCCATTATCATTTCACTTGTTTTATTATGTTATTTTTATGTGACATCCTTAATATATTACACAGTACTAGCAATTCCAATATCATTTGTTCTTGTTTTATTATGTTATATTTCTAGGTAACATCAATAATATATTACACAGTACTAGTTATTCCATTATCATTTCACATGTTTTATTATGTTATTTTCTATGTGACATCCTTAATATATTACACAGTACTAGCAATTCCAATATCATTTGTTCTTGTTTTATTATATTATTTTTCTAGTTAACATCAACTTTATATTACACAGTACTAGCAATTCCATTATCAGTTCTACTTGTTTTATTGTGTGTTGGTATAGATTTGTTGTTAGGATGGGGCACTCGTAGTAAGTATGGCAGTATATTTCACATTAAACGCGTGTAAGGGTGGGGGCACACGAACAGTCTTGGTCGCAGATATTTGTCGCCAACTCAAATCTTGAGTAAAACTTCGCGTGTGCCCGCGATTCAACTACAAGATTATCGTGTTGCCGACAGGATTTATAAAAGAAATTTGATATTTGTTACCGATTATTTTATCGTCTGCATGACAGGGCGTCATAGATTCATTTTCCTTACAATTGCAAGATATTATCAGCTGCAAATTATTATGTTTGACAGTAAGTGAACGAAATCAAACACAGAATTGTTGAGAGCATTTTTTTTTGTTTCCTAATAGCATCTTTCAAGGAAGATTCTTTGCACCAACACAACCGAACTTATCTTTCTGGTTTTCTCAGAGCTAGTGGTGAAGAAGTTGGTTGGAGATGCTTTATGCTGCCATGTTTGATGTCGCAATATTCACCTATTGTTGCTCTTACCATATCGTGAGTTACAATAATTCAACTCTAACAAATATATTCTGTTCAACGATAAATAGAAAAGAATCATAATTATTTCAGAAGGGTAACAACTTACTCATTATTGGCAGCTGCCGTATTTTAGGACAGGCTTACCCTTCCTCACTGGCAGGTAATTCAGAACAGGCTTACCCTTCCTCACTAGCAGGTACTTCAGGACAGGCGCACCCTTCCTCACAAGCAGGTACTTCAGGACAGGCTTACCCTGCCTCAGTAGCTGGTACTTCAGGACAGACTTACCCTTCCTCACTAGCAGGTACTTCAGGACAGGCTTACCCTGCCTCAGTAGCTGGTACTTCAGGACAGACTTGCCCTTCCTCACTAGCAAGTACTGACTCCTTCATCTTTTCTGATACTCTCAAGTCACTTTGGATCATTTTGTATCCCCATAACAAAAGTGTAGAACAAGCTTGTAAATAATTTCAGTGGCATTATATGGGGATTCTTCCATGTTCCGGTTTTAATTCTGTTAACAAACCGGCTACGTCCACCAAAACCGTACATAACAGTTCTTGTCCAGTGTGTGGCGTGTGTTTTAGCAGCGTTTCCACATTCATGGATCGCCATTAAATCTGGGTAAGAAAATAGTTCAATTAATTTACATGTATATAAATCTATTTCAGGCGCCAATTTGTTGCCTGGGTTATATGGATACCTCACCGCATATTTTCGACCAAAAACGTTTGAAAATATCTTTTGATTTGTTAAGAATAACGTACAAACCATCGTTCAAGAGGGGTAATACCCCCACAGGCGCCGCCACTGAAAGGGGTAGGGTCGTAAAATTATTTTACTCATTTTAGTTAAAACCATACGTCTTAGACATCGGATTATCATTCTGTTTGCATTGATCTCTACCCACTTGTCATGGCATATCCACCTCGTAACCCTTAAAATTCTCGCAAACCCTTATAGTTAAATTTAACACCTTAAGACTTATTGAAGTTACATCAACATCTTTCCAAAGCAACTGCGTATACTTTTGTGTTTAGTTTTATATATTTCTTCTAGTTACATTGAAAACTCTCTTTAAATTCTTGTCCACTAACAACTTACGCAAAGAGAGGACAGATTGAGGGCAGTATTTGTATTATCTATAGGCATTTTTCAATTAAAACACTCTAAGTTCTTAAATCGTCTAATTCAAATCCATTAACTTCTTGATATTATAATAAAAAGACAAAAAGTTCGAAATGTGATAAATTTGTACATATTTGTATTGTATAGAATATATATCATTAGAAGAAAATCGTAGGCGATGAAATTTATATTTTACTAGGTAGTCGAACGCTCATGTCGACGGCAAGATCTAATTTTTGCTAGAAAATCAAAGCAACTGGAGGTAACTCGTGTCCACTAAATCAAGCGATTGATGAGATTCTTTCAAATGCGGTTAGTGCCTTATAGTTGTAAATCCAGTTACTTTTAATTATATTTTTGATACTTACATTAGGGCTAGTGCAATGTTACCTGGTTTACTGAACTATCTTTATTTTAGATAGTATTGTTTATTGGGGGTTTTTTTTTTGGTGAACAATCATAATCCTTAACATTTCAGATACTCATTTCGGGCTAATTCAATGAACAATCTTTGTTTTTCACATAGGTATTTGGACGAACTCATATCTATATCTTTTCCATTTCAGATGCCCATTTTGTGCTAGTACAATGTTACATGGTGTACTGAACAGTCTTTGTCCATTTGGGCGACCAACAATCATTATCCTTTACATTTCAGATGCCCATTTTGGGCCAGTGCAATAATACATGGGTACTGAACAGTCTTTGTCCTTTTTGGGCGACCAACAATCATTGTCCTTTACATTCCAGATGTTCATTTTGGGCTAGTACAATGTTACATGGTGTACTGAACAGTCTTTGTCCATTTGGGCGACCAACAATCATTGTCCTTTACATTTCAGATACTCATTTTGGGCTAGTGCAATGTTACATGCAGCATGGAATAGGCTGAATCCTCTATTACTGGGAAGTATTTATACTCAAACTCCAGGATATATAGAGGGGGAACAATGGTTGATTAATGGAGAAGGATTGGCTGGTTGTTTGGTGATGTTACCAGTAGCTGGTCTTGTTGTTTGGGATCTTAGTTAAAGTTATACTACCTCTCAGGATGACCAAAAAATTGAAATTTTTAAACGTGGCCAAAATAAGTCTTCGTTCAAAAGTGGGCTTAGCATAACCTGGTGTCATAACTACATAACAAAATCCATTAATAAAAATTAGTAAAAATTCATTAAACTAAGTAATTTTGAAACATGCTTAGAAGCGTGTTTCAGTAATTATTTAGTTTAATGGATATATCGTCTTATATAAAGGCACCTGGTAAGTTCAACTGATGAATATAATAATATACTCTTGTTGACTGGACGTTTGAAACTTTTATGTCCATTTTAAGAGGTATTATCCTTTTAATGGCCATTGTCATGCTGGTAATAATTTGCTATAAGAAACAGGTATCGGCGCTCGGCAGCATGAGGTGAGCTCTTGTCAATGTAATTTTTGGAGATTTGCTCAATAACTACGACATGGACGTAATTATTTCATGTTTGTTCATTGTTACTTTAAGTAGATTGTAACTGCCACCTGCAGGAGCTGCTCTGCACAAAATGTCCTACCTTCCTACCTTATATTTATTTCCCATGATATGGGTTCTTTCACTTTCAATTTCAGATCAATAAGAAATTATAGCAAAAAGTAATTGCAATCGTGTTTTCGTGTCTTCGGAAATTTTAATCTAATTGTTAAAATTGTTACATCAGTGTTAATCTGGAAATCAATTGTAGGCAAATACAAAGCAAATGGCACAATGTATTATATTACATACGGGCGGACTATTTTTGATGACAATAGTTATTCTTTAATTGTTCTTGTTTTGTTTTTAAATGCTTGCAAACAATATTAGATTGTCGTCCTTCCCGTGAGGATATTGAAGAAGGAGTCACGAAAAGTAAAGGAATTTCGATCCAATCTATATTATTGAATATTTATTGAAAGCATTGATTGTAGGCCTCTAACGGCTCTTTTCACAGTTCTAAATATTTTATGATGCAAACAACGGATCTGAGTCAATATTTTCTTTATTGATATAAAATATTCTATCTGGCTATCTGTTGGTACATTAATATTTGTCAATTTAATTTGCCGCAAGGTTTAATGATTGAGTTTGCTCAGAAAAAATGACTTTCAAGAGATAATCATCACACTCGAAAGAACTCAATTTGCAGTTTTTCAAAAACGTATTGTGGGCTTTAAGACGTCACGTCTATGCGATTTTAGTGAGAATTTAAAAACGGAATCGACGTGGAGGTTGTCTTACGTCTATGTTATGCTTGAATATTCAATACTTTGAAGAATCGGTTTTTTAATTCTGTATAGTGGTAATTGTGGTTCCCCGTTGTCCGATCAATTTCATATTTCTCGAGTACATCACTTGTCTAATTAAAATAAGACCAAACTTTCGTGTCGTATTTTTTATAAGTTTTTATTTTTTAATATTTCCACATCGGCTGTTCGTTCTATATTCAATTAAACTTCAGTATATCTCAACTACTCAATAAGTAAACGATTTTGAACTCGTTTTGTGGTTTTATTCTCAAAACAGGTATATTAATTAGTTCTAATTAGATTTGTATTTCAACGAATATAACGATTTTTTTTTGTTTAACATTTGCAATTTTTATTATATACATACAGACCGTGTCTATTGTGTAAGCAAAGTTAAAAAATTTCTCATCATTTTTATGAGAAATGGAATAGCATGCTGTTTTTTTTATAATTTTTTTGCGTTGATAAAAATATAAATATGAGCGCACATTATGCTTTCAAACTTTATTTTTACAGAGGACAAATTTCAGCCAAACTTTTCTCTTCAATGTAAACTTCAACAAAATTATAATGTTTATAAACGCAAAGACATTCTTATAAAAAAAATGGAACAAAATTCAAACTTTTCTCCGACAGTAATGAGAGTCCTTTTGTCGCTTCCTGTTTTAGAGAACACTTGTCATCTAGATATTCACGTGACAACATAATAATTTGTGCCCGATATTGAGGTTAGGGTCTTGAAAACTACGAAATCATACAGAGTACATTCCCCCATTGCCTGGAATGTAAAAGAACGACAATATCTCTCTTCAAGGCATCTCAGACCACAATTTGAAAGTGTGGATTGACTGATAAAACCCGTTGCTGGCAAAGAACTTAACGGTTTACTGTTCGTCTTCGATATAATGGAATATCTCTCTCTTTCTCTTGGAATTATCAACTCGTTCTCTGCAAAAGGTGAACAGATTAAGCTAAAACATTTTTTGGTGGCCGAATTCAGAGGCAGGTAATATGTCTGATATAAATGCATGTTTAGGCTAAAATTATGCCATTCATTCGACAACGATTCAGCGATTTTGTTATGTGGCCAAATTGAATTATGCCGTATTTGAAGTTGATGGGAGCGCTTGGTCTCAAATAACGCAAGGCTACTGGTGGATCAATTTGTTTGCAATGGTTCCATGATAAATATTGACTTTATTTACCTGAAATGTAAACTTTATCGTTGCAGGCCACATTTAAAACTTCGGTCATCTGTTCAATATCATCTACCAATACCAAACAGCGGATCCTGCCATGGAAACCTTCATTTTCTTCTTCTGAATAGCCCAAAAGTATTGAGTAATTGGATGACGATGCTTGCTGCAATCCACACGAGTGAGAACCAATATATTCCGAATCATTGACAAGCAAAGTCATATCCGATGGAAATGTGATTTTGAAGCCTAATACGGACCATGTGTTAAGCTGAAGAGCGTTAGTTCTTACAAGATGTCCACATTCACTACCGATATTGTTGAAAAGTTTTATTTCAACCGATGTGCCGTCTACAGAAATCCGAGTTTCGGCCACATCCTCCGCATCGCTCTTGATTGTCATAAAAGTTACATAATTAAGATCGTCTACATATAGGTACATGCCAAAACTATGGTGGTTTGCAAGAAGATAGCTTGGTATACCATCAAAATGAATAGATGTCAATCTTGATCCATCAAACAAAACTGCTTCATTTGGAAGATCTGGTGGTCCATATGCAAATCTGAAATCTGGTTGATTAAATGGTATTCTTCCCGTTGTGTTTTCTTTGCCTGTATTTATAGAATCCAAGGGCCAGATCAGATTAGGTTGCGTTGGCTGTGTCGGTGTTACAGATGACGGTACTGAAATGATAGATCACTGCTTATGTTGAATTGTTTGAAATCAAGTAACAATATTTATATATAAATGTGTTTGAATTTGTTCCTGGTTCAGTTTTTCAGTCCAATTAGCATTGATAGTTCAAATCAGTTACAAAAAGGTCATGAGCTTTTTATTTAAAGTTGAATAACAATGAAAATATTCGTTTCGAGAAAATCATCAATACTAAAAACGCTACCAGATTGATCACCAAATACATTTTTATGGGATATTTCAGCCGTCAGAAAAATGACATAAAATGAATGAAGTTTTACGTCCTACTTTTCTGCACCATGTGGGCTAATGAAGACGTGCAACGCCATGCAGGGTGCAAAGAGGGACATTTTGCCAGGACAGCGGCATAAGCTTGCTCGACTAGACGCTTTTTCCATGTTAGTCCCTCTTACCTGTATCTGACAGGGGGAACCGGGTTGAAAATTCCGAAGGTATTACCTCAACCTGTGCGTCTAACTCAATGGGCCACTGCGGCCCTCTTCAATTGTCAGAGCGTCCAAGTCGACTAAATCTTGCGACTGATCAAATTTCTACAGGCTGTGAATTGCTGACAATCTTTGGAATTCCATTTTCTATAAAACCCTGCTGTTGCTGTTGATGATGGTCACAATAAGAATACCATGCCTTTTGGTTGTTATACATGCATAAGGTCATTGTAATGATGGAAAGCAGAGATGACATAGATGAACCAAGGATTCCATCGTGAAATCCCTTTGCTTTCGTCACACATCAAAATGTAAAATGTCTTAAAGTATTCTGTGAACGCATAAATGCCTATCAAAGCTTTTACTTACCGGGAGATGAAACGCCTATCCAATCTTGTATACATGCATTTTCCATGTTCTGCTCGTCATAGGAATTGATATAATTATTAAAAAACAAAGCACATGCGATTTTCCCGTTGAACATGTCAGTTGGAGTGGTTGTCTGTGAGGCACCGAATCTCAGAATTCCAGGAACCGTTAACCCTCTTCCATAATAGCTTATCGATTTTCGACTATTGGAGTTTTTGATGAAAAAATTTGCAGTCCTGTCCGAATAAAGAAATCCAAAACCAACTAGCGAGAATACATTGGTTTGCATTACAGTATTAAAAGTCTTGTTGTACATATTTGTTCCATCAGACAGTACCATCGAAAGTTTACCAGCTACAAATTGAATTCTGAACTCTACCAATTCACCCGAAATCGGAGCTGTAGCTTTGTAATGGACGATCGTTCCGATATTTTCCGTAGGGTTTATTAAAATAGTAAACCCAAAAGACAAGATCGGCACATCATTCTTAATCTCGACATCGATATGACTTTGCGACGGAGAAAATTCCACAAAACCATCGCTCCAAATATATGTTGATCCGACTTCGACTGGTCCTGGTTTGTTTATAACACAATCCGCTTGTTTAGGCTGAATGGCATCATCATTGGTGGTTTGCACCTCTTTACCACACGTCAAATCGTTCAAGGGCCATCTGTATAAAGGAGATGGACCGGCAAATATTACGCCGATCTGGACTGAAAGAAAACCCATTTAGCTTAATTCAAATGTAACCTTAATGTTGGTAGTCGATATTAATTTGCAGTCCTCATGAAGGCGGGCAAGTGTACGAAGGAAGAAATTTTACCAAAACAGCGACATAAACCTCTTTGTTTTATTCTCAAACTATTGAAGGATAGCCTGCACAATCTGTACCGCAAGGAGCTTATTGTACCATCCGAAAGACTAGTTTCTTTTTTCAATACCCCCTGACCTGTATCAAACTGTGTCGTGTTGAACAAATTCCGAACAATAATTAATCAAAACATAATGTAATGTTCCAAATTTTTGAAGAAAGAAAATAATCACAGTGCCAATTTAAACAAAATAATTATAAATACCTACCTATGAGAAGAAGAAGCATGTTTCTCCCATCTATACTGTAACTATTAAAATTGTCTCCTTATATATTACGATAATAAAATGAAAATCAATATGCGTGTGGAAACAGTATCCAGATTAACACGGATTAAAGGTGGGAGTAGAGGAGGTATGGTCTCCGGTGTGGGGCGGGATGCTTGATACAGCTGTGTTCGCTTCTATTTTAAAAAAAAAAAGATAGGCCAACATACTTTAGTCACAGAACTGGAATATTTAACTGAGTAATAGTGTTCACAGCTCACTGTCGAAATCTGAGCCTTCAAATCCATGTGTGTCAAGAATTATCTGCGTTTGAATGTTAAAATGACGACTCGTCAATTTAAGATACTCTGTGATATATAGAAAATACATATAAAGAAATAGGGACTAAAATTCCTAGTTTGAAGTATTTAAATATGATATTTTGTCAAATATATTACAAATGGTTTGCAAAGAGTCACTGTGGATTATTACAGTATATCGTTTTTCAAAATATATTATATGATATTGATAACTTTGAATAGTAAAGACAATTTGATCAAATGTGAATAATATGTAACTCCTAAGTCTATTGTTAAGTGGTAAAATCAAACAACAAATAGACTACAAATATGTGAAAGATATACTTACAATGAACTTTACCGTTTGCTTTCATTCAAAACGAAAATATAAATATTTAAGTAATATATTCGAACGAAAAACTGTTGAAATGTGAATTAAAATTAAAATGCTTACTATGTACATTCTGTAACTCTTGCCCTGAAATGATCTTTTATGTTCAAGTGGTCTTAGGTAAATTTAATGACATTTTATACAGAATTTTATTACATCTTACTTTTGGCACCTGGCCACGTAATTTCGAAACAATCTTAGCGCTAGGATGTCCTAGAATCAATGTTAGAAGATAATAACCTAGGAGATCCTAGCGCTAAGATCGTTTCGAGAATACGTGGCCTGATTTGGCAAGTGAAGCAGGGTGATGCTATGCAGTGTGCATTAGGGAAATTTATTCAGGGTGTGCCTACTCTTTTCCAATTTACAACTATCAATGGATCTTGAACTGATCTGAAAGACCTGTCGCTTTTTCAATGTAAGCCACTCCGACCTGCATCACTGACAAAGGGAGGTGTCATATCGACTAATGCTGGGATCAAGTCATTGACTTTCAAGGCATTAAAAATATGGATTCCATTTTTGGTTGTTTTTTTTTTTTCATATTCCAAAAGTGCATTAGTCTTGAAATAATCATTTCATTATTGAATTAGAAGATAATAAAAAGGAAAAATATACTTCAACTTTCAATCTGTGCAACGACAAATTACTAACAAGATTAAAATTCCATTTAAAACTGTACTTAAAATAATGCAACTTATCAAGAAATCACATTAATAAGTTATAGTAATTAATGGTTGGTTGGCTTTCAAAGCATACTATTGCTATATAAAAATATAAAGCTTTTAAAAAAAGTACTTCAAACTCTAATTAATCTATATTTTGAAAACTGGCCTTTAAGAGATCGTTTATTCAGACATACTTCCGTTATGCCATTAATACTAACCGAGTGTCAAATCCAAAACCAACCAGAGCAATATCATCTTATGTATAGGATAATGACCTCTGACTCGTTTGTACCGAGTTAAAAGGTCCGAGAAAGAGAGGGGTGGTTCGGCCTTCCTCTTCCGAAGGCCATTTCAACTCGGAAAGAGCGAGCTCGATGTCATTATCCGAGCTATATACCGTTTCCGAAATAAATAATAAGTAATTATGTTGCAGGATCGATCGATATTATCTGATGTGATGTGTTTAAACGTTCCAGAATTTTCTGAAATACTTGGACCGTCCAATTCTACATTCAAAAATTCTATATGTAGTATTGAACGATACAAATCTCACCACCCACTAAAGAATCTGGGTAAGACTTGTACCTCAGAAGAAAGAACCCTGCTGAAAGTTGGTAGGTTATTAATGAATTATAATCAACCTGCAACATCTAAAAGATCTGGTTTGTAAAAAGACGTCGCAAACTAATTTAACGTACGTATTGAAAATTGAGTATAGAATAAAACGCTTTTAATGTGTTTTTGTGATATATAAAATTCCACATCCGATCAATGATAATAGTAATTGTAATTCTTTATTACGTTTGAAGGTCAATGACCCATAGAACGTAGACACAATAATCGTATAAGTTAATAATAATAATATTTATAATCGCATCCGATATGGTATAAACTTATATAATATTATATGCCACCAATTGCTTTAGGCATCTTTTACAGAACCTAACCCCTATGTCAGGCTAAGAAAGGCAATGGATTCACGCACGTTTTCACGGTGCATTTTACTTTGAAAACACATTAACTTCAATCGATTATAAACTAGCTCACTCTCTAGCTTTAGAATATTTTACTTTACTATCGCTATTTACTTTTTATAACCATCGTAATCATCATCTTCAATATCAATGGAAACAAAGTATAAAAAAAATAGTTTTGAAAATAGTAAAATATCTTAATATATTGTTTGATTTGCATTTAATGATAAGAAATTGATTTTGATATGGAATTTGAACTAATTACTCAGTTTTCCAATCAATGAGTCATTATTAATTTCCGACAGTTTCTATAGAGCATTATCTTGAAGCTGAATGTTGCAGAGAACTAGTGGAAATTTTCTGTGTTTTTTGACATAGCTAAAAAAGCTTCCTGTTGTGGACACATTTTACATAGACCTACAGCTAAGGATGAACCCTATTGAAAATCAGAAAAATGGAAAAATAATTTGTATGAGTTATTGCCCTTGTTCTTGAAAATGCATTCAAAATTTGTAGCACGTAAACACTCTAGAAGCCACAATTCTTGATGGATTTTGACGACACTTGGTAATATTATTCAGTATCGCCTTAAAAAGTTTAAAAGAAGTGTATGTCTGAAGGTTGAATATTTCATACTGGTAATTGTAACTGTACTGTCAAATATTTTTATTTAAAATCAAAGCTGCTAGTGGGCGTATATTACTTTGACTGGCAAGCTATCTTACATAGTCTAGAAACCTATTGCAGTGAACGTATTTGGCATAGCCTGGAACGCTTACTGCTGAGGATGTATTTTACATAGCCTGGAACGCTTACCACTGTGGACGTATTTTACACAGCATAGAATGCTTACGGATGTGGGCCTATTTTACATAGCATAGAATACTTACTGCTGTAGACGTATTTTATATTGCCTGGAATGCTTACTACTGTGGACGTATTTTACATAGCATAGAATGCTTACTGTTGTGGACGTATTTTACATAGCCTCGAATGCTTACTGCTGTGGACGTATTTTACATAGCCTGGAATGCTTACTGCTGTGCACGTATTTTACATAGCATAGAATGCTTACTGCTGTGGACGTATTTTACATAGCCTGGAATGCTTACTGCTGTGGACGTATTTTACATAGCCTGGAATGCTTACTGCTGTGGACGTATTTTACATAGCCTCGAATGCTTACTGCTGTGGACGTATTTTACATAGCCTGGAATGCTTATTGCTGTGGACATGTTTTACATAGCATAGAATGCTTACTGCTGTGGACGTATTTTACATAGCATAGAATACTTACTGCGCTGGGCCTATTTTACATAGCATAGAATTCTTACGGCTGTGGACGTATTTTACATAGCCTAAAACGCTTACTGCGGTGGACCTATTTTACATAGTCTAGACAGCTTTCTGCTATGGACGTATTTTACGTAGCCCTTAGAACGCTTAATGTTATTTGTATTTGCTACCTTAAAGGGAAAACGACCTTTTTCTATTCTATTTCGAGATTCAAATTTCATAGTAGATTGTTTTGATTTGATATAGTTTGTCAAAGAAATAATTTTTTTTTGTCATTCCGATTATTATTCAAAAAATCAACAGTCTGAAGTTCAATTTTGTTTAATTTAAGTTTGTTTTCTGTCTGGATGTGAAGTATTCTACAACAAATTTATTACTTTATTAAAGAAGATTAGTCTTCTAAATATTTGCTTCACAAATGTGCTGTTTAATTTAATTTAATAGATTTCAGTAGGCGGATGATAATGATTAATTGTAGTCCAATGTTTTAATTAATGATGTTGTTGTTGATTAATATTGCAATGGTTTATCAATTCGGTTGCTGTTGTTACTAGTGTAATAGTTCATCAATTCGGTTGCTGTTGTTACTAGTGTAATGGTTCATCATTTCAGTTGTTGGTGACTACTGTTGTAATGGTTTATCAATTTGGTTGCTGTTGTTTATATTGCATTGGTTCATCATTTCAGTGGTTGATTAAAGTTGTATTAGTTTGGATGCTGTTGTTAATGTTGTAATGGTGTATCTATTCAGTTTTTGTCGTTTAATTACATAATGGTTTATCAATTCAATTATCAATTGGTAACATTTTTTTATCGTTTCAGGAAAAATATGAAGATGATGTTGATGAAACTTACTGTGCGTGAAGGTAAGATAATAGTTCCTTAACGCGCAGCACCCACATCCTTATTAAACCTATTTCTCTAACAACTACCCTGTATATATACACATACCAACAGATACAAACACCCTCCCTTGAAAGTAACGCTAATCGCTCTGCAGATTCAGAGGAAACTGTCGAGGATTTCCACTAACCTATTATTGTCTATTTTAAATTCCCAACTGTGCAGAATTTTTTTTTTAGTATTTGCGTTACGTATGATATTAAAGCGTGTCTTCTCGTGTATCAACAATCAACCCATAAAGCGTTCGGAATGATTGAAGAAGACATCGATACAACCTGAAAGATTTCGATTAAAGTTGGTTATTTCCCTTTACCAGCTATACTGATTATATATACACATGTGATGACCGCTTTAGTGATTACCAATGTTTACAATCACAATATTTGTGTCACACGGCGTATCGACCAAATTTCCTTAAGCGACTTATTGAACGAGTATTTCTTTCAAATTGTTGACTGTCCGTTTCTTCTCTACAAAGGATATCAGATTCACTTCAAAACCAACCAATCTGCGTCCTGCGTCCTGCGTTCTAGCAGCGTCCTGAAACTTTTCAAGCAAAACTTCCAACATATGACGATGTTCAAGAATCAAATATGGATGATGAAATGTTCCTAGGACAAAATACTTCGTCTATTTCCACCTTTACACATATATATGTGAGCTTTACTTATATTCTGGTAGAGGTTGTCCCAAGAATTTACCATACTTTGTCAGCTGTTTATGAACGTGATCTATCCTATATTCTCGTGTGATTATGTTATATATCTTACTTTGAAATACACAATGAGATTTGTACAGATGATGGTATAAAATATTAACAGATGTTTTAAAACTTCAATAAATTGATATTCTTGTCCTTAATAATATTATGTTGTCACGCCGCTCGCACTGATTAGCGGGCTGATAACATTCCCAGTGGCTAGCTAAGAGAACTAAATGTGCTTATTAATCTCAAAAAATGATATGCAATTTTTAATGCCATCTAGGAAAGGGGGTGCAAATGAAGACCAAAACCTAGAATTAATTGTTGTGTAAATTTTATATTTAGATCCAGACCCATAAGACTACACGTCTGAATAAATTTTCATTTCCACTATTTTAGAATATGCGTATATTGATGATGAGGTCCATTCTGGCAATATTTATATCAATGCAAAATTGTCAAAGAGATACCTTTTGAAAACGTTAAAGATACTTAGGAATACTGTGTGGTCTTATGTGATTGCCATTTTTTCGCAGAGTGTGCAAACGATCAACAAACAACCCGCCTGGCGCCTGCACCAAAAAACTATAGGCGAAGGACCGAAGGTCCGTTTGAGGACCTGTTGTAGGGGGTGGGTTCGGGAGTGGATTCGGGAGTGGGGCGAAGGCTGGTTTGCCCGAAATATTTCCATTAATAATTTTATCTGTACCTTTTTTTCATATTGCTGCCGATATATTTTCGGTGCCTGAAAAGATAATATCTGTTGTCTACTATGCCTATGAAGATAACGGTTAATAATTGGCAAAACATTAATGTTATATTTTTGAAAACAATTTTGCTAGGATTGGCAGCTCAGACTTCATTTTGAGATCGTTCGTGTGATAATATATCATAATATATAGGCGTTACCAATCATTCAAAGTTGTCAATCATTTTAAAGTGGCATTCCGCTACCAATAGTGGTAGTCTTTGTTTACATTTCATAGATTTATTGCTTATTAAGAGTATATGAAAGGTGAAAAACTAAATATTATTTTAGGAGCTCTCTTGAAACAATGGTTTATCTTTATTAAGATCCGTATTAAGATCTTTACACCTTTTTGTTTTATAGCCTCTAGTCTAGTACTTGACATCAATTGGTTAGATACTTCGATCAATTATTGTGGTTTTTATTGCCAACACCCTGCCATATTGCCATAGTAGACCGAGTTTTGAGTTGATACAATACCCAAATTTATTCTGCAAAACTCGTCGACGCTTTCATTGAAACCGGTTTCATCAATTGAGAAGAATTCTATAAGCAGAATAATAATCATTTAATGTGGTCATGCCAATATCACTTTAACGACTTTATAAAACGGACAAAAATGAAACTAAAATATATCAATGAATTGGTGCATTTTTTAGAAGTAATTTCAAGATTACTGCCCTGGCATTTCTTGCATTTTTGTCAACTTTATAAAAGTGAAATGATGAGTTATTGTCCTTGGGTTCTAAGAAACTCGTCAAACTTGATATGTGCCTACTAACTCCAATTTCATACAATTTCGATCTAACTTGGAATGCCTTTGCATACCGCGATTCGTTCAATATAGCTGTTTCGAATATACATGTGGTTTAGGTTGAATATGAACTCTACCGGCAAATCAGGAGTAGTTTCATTAAAAAGATATGTTTAAAGCAATAATGGATAAAATTCATGACCATTTCTCTGTCTTCGGGTCAAATATATCGCATTTTATGACCTAATAGTTTTTAATTAGAGACACAAAACAGTTAAATAAATATAAAACTGAAAGTTAAAGAGGACAACTAAATTAAGTCTTCTCTCGTCCAAAAAGTGATTTACCGGTTCTCTTTAATCTCCTTGGGGGCTATAAAGTTTTACTTTAATAGGTTAAGTTTAATCTGCCCATAAAGAAATTTAATCTATTACCATAATCACTGCCATGCGCTTTACCTGTGGCCATATCACACCTCATATAACCTTTGCTCTACATTTTCTTAAAGTAGGACGTAAAACTCCATTCATTTCATTTTCTTCGGGTTAAGAAATAACAAATATCTTTCAGTATAAGTAATCAGCAAATAAGATTATTGGAGTTTTACGCCCAATTTGTCTTCTTCATTGAAACCGTATGCAGCGCTCTTACCTTGACTAAAGACTTTATGTCCTATTTTCTGCACCTGAATAATGAATAGTAAAGATAGGGCAATGACATGCATTGTGCAATTAGAGAAATTTTATAAGGACAGTTGCAAAGCTTAATGTTTTTTTATCTCCAACTATCCAGGGATCTTTAAATATAGTTAGGAATTTAAGGTTGTAATATAGCGGTTAAGCAATGTTACGAAAGCACAGGCACAGGCATGTAGGCGTAACCTCGGGAGAGTATTGTCTGTTAAATGACATTCGTGTAAAAATCCAAAGAGGATATTATATTTTTCTTATTCCTTCGTAAAACATCAAAAGCTTTGAATATAGTCTGCATATTCCAGGTTATTCGACTAGAGTTTGAAAACCGTTAAATACATATTTCATTAGTTTGCACTAGTCAGTACTATTTAATATAAATCAATATGTTTATTTTAAACAGTAATTTTAACCCATAAATTGTTGTTCGAAGGAGGAATTCTGCAAGGTGTCGCCATATAACATTATCGATTTAATATACGTACAAGTAACATCTGGACTGTTGATATTTATCAAGTATTGATCGAGTATATTTTATTAAATTCTAACTATCAGTAACCGGTATTAAATGGAATCACCAAAACTGTTTTAGAGAATTCCGTTTCTTTACTTGTAATCAGGAATTGGTCAGGGTGTATAGTTGCTTGTCAAAGCTTGAGGTCACGTGATAATTGTTTACATTATAATCGAGTGGTAATTCAGTTAGGGAAATGATCAGACGGTTATATAGCTGTCAATCATAAATACAGGTGTGAAAATTGTCTACGCCTCCCAGTTAAATGACCCGAAATTTCGGTAGGGACCATAATTGATAAGGTATCACCCAGGGAAAAGGTTGCTTAAAACCTTATGGAAAATTATTTGAAGTGTTTATGATTTTGAAGTCACACGGTAGCATCTCAGCTGTGACACACGAATTTACCTTTAACGAGAAACTGCGTGCGCAACTCAGGTAGATTTCATTCACCGCCACGTTCGGTTCAATTGGCCAATGAGAGTTGCTAGTTGACAAAAAGTAGGGTCGAGACCACATGGTTTAGAAAGTTCAACAAAACATTCGTCAGCTCGCTCAGGTGAAACAAGTCCGATCGCTATTTTGAAGGAGGCCAAGTGACAACTTCGCTATGGCCGTAAATTATTTAGTGGCCTTATTTTGTACTTCTGCTGGGAAAAATCTGGAAGAACTTGGATCGGACGAGGAACAAGTTATATCATTTGTGTACCTGTTATACGATGTCACTAATAATAAGGTAAGAAATTCGTTATGTATCATTCCCATATGGTGACATACTAAAAATACTTTCTCTATGTATAAAGTGATGAGCACAGGTAAATATATTTTCACTGTGTTTGTTTAGTAAAGGATGTCGGATGAATAGATGTAAACTAGAACAGCGTGACAACGAAAATCTAAATGACCGATAAACTTTTCAAGACATGATGATCGTACATGATACAAACTTTCTCAAAGGATGAATGTCATGTTTACGTGTCGCACAAGTTTGACACATACGGAAGCCTCATCGGTTATATAAAAAGATAAAACTTTATTTATTAAAAATAATCTTTATGTGTAAGCCTTAACAAATAATAACATTTAAAAGAGATGTTACTGTTTGCATAAAATGTCTTATTATGAATATTTTAATTTAATGTATCATTTATAGCATTGTGCCCGTGATCTATCCCCCATCCCTTTCATTGCAAAGATGAAGTTTTTCTTACCAAAAGTTTTGATTTCGATTATTGCAGCACTTTGATCAAACCTTATCACTTTTTCAGTAGCTCAAAATAGAACAGAGTAGGATGTAAACTCCATTTCATTTAAATCCTTTCCATTGCAGGTGATCGCCTTACAACATCATTATGTTAAGCCACAACCAAATGAATTATCAGAAACACTTCTCACAGAAGACTGTAAGGCAGAAACAGGCATCGATGAAAATATGATAAAAAATGGCCAGTCTTTGGATCACGTCTTTGAGGAGGTAATAACATTAAAATTATAATTATTTTTCAAGTTTCAGATCTGAAACTTCTTCAAAATTGAGAAATTAGCATTTTGACATTGGTTTGTTGACAAAAGTTTTTAGACAGTTGTTTCGTCTGTGAATTTTCCTAGTAACGTCTCGTTTTAGGCGAGAGTTTGTCAATAAAGTGTCACAGGCGTCAAAACTTTCTTAACATGTCAATCAAACAATATCAATGTTAATTTGAATTCTGATGTAACCTGGTAGATCTAATTGCATATTTCTGAAACCTAATTTGTTAACCTAATTAAGTGCAGAACAGCAGAATTTAAAACTCCACTTCATTTTTTTTTTCGTTCTTCTCGCATTATGTATTGTTAATCGTCGAATCGTCTGTTGACTTTGGCACACAGTTTGGGGGTGCATGAAAATATGAACTACCTCAATATTCGAAAAAAAGTTTCGACTTAAAGTCGTGGGAAATCCCTAGTGCAAATTTTCTGTACCAAGTCATCAATTGTGAAATTCCAATTTTAACATTTCTGAACATTGTGTCATTTTCTTGAATCAATGACGTTTGGGTTGTATTTTTTAAAATTGTGACACACAGATGTAGCATCATTTTCCAAATCGATAGAGTTTTATTCTAGAATTTTTCGTTTGAATTTGTGAAATGTACAATCAATAATGGTCGTTGTTAGTATATAGTGTATTGGGCAATCTGTTGCCCGTCTTTTGACACATGATCAATTCAACCGACCGAGACTATTTGCCTAGCGGATATAATAGTCTTGATTAGTAAGACGATTACTATGTTTTTCTAACGGTTTTAGATTAAGAAGATTTTAAATTTTCATAAATATTTAGTCTTATCCTTCACGTAATATACTTAAATAGTATATAAGGCACTTTATTTGTTAGCCGTTTACGTCAAGACGTAATTTTAAAAGGGTTCTGGGAAAACACTATTAAAGCTTTTTAAGGTGATTGCTTTCACTTGAATTCAGAATATAGAAAGGAGCATTTTTGAATTGGTCATTGGCTTGCTAGTTCATACTCAAATGCGAAAAAACCACTTTCGTCATTTTGACATTTTCAAATATTAAAAATTAGCGGGTATTCTGAAGTGCAGATAACCATGTGGAGGTTTGCTACCACTGATAAAATATTGACAAAATTCGTTATCTTTAGATTACTTCTGTATCTATTTTTACGCTGTGTAGATTATGGGAATATACCACAAGGTTCAGGGCCATTATCTTCTTGTAGATAATTATAAAAATTTGTCTTTGACTCGTATTTTGCTCCTGTTCAAAGAGTTTACAATTTTGCATGTACATTCAAGAAAATAAACCCATCATCAGTAGTGTAATTTTTAAAAAGCTTAGCACAACTAATTCGTCAATGCAAAAACAATTAAGAATTTATGTTCCTACATTGCATTTGTTAATGAGATAGAAAAAAAGGACACTACCATTTAGATGGTTTAAATTGTTGTTTGCAATAGGATTTCAGCGAAATACCTTTAAATGCCGATATGTGAATCCTCTAAATCATGACTTATTTTATACAAATTATGGAGTATTTACTTTAAATTTTAAGATTTTAAAGATTATTTCAATGCATTAACAGAATTCTTTCTGCAAAACTCGGAAGCTTTTCAAATAATTTCTTCAAGACTAGGATTTCCTCTTTGGATTACTGCAACAAGCAATTGACAGTTTGTTTAGCTACTATTACAGATCAAACATTCTAGTCATTCTATGCTCATTTCGTATCCCCCTTTAAGTTATTTTGTATCCCTTTCTTATTTTCATTGTGTATCCCTTTTCTAATGTTCATTGTGTATCCATTTCTTATACCGGTCCACCATTTTGTTTTTCAGTTCGAACGATTTTTATACGCTAAAGGTGTGCATACAGATCACGGAGGAAAATCGTTTTGTTTTGTTACTGATGGACCCAATCATATACGACAGTGTCTTCATCCAGAAACGTGCAATAAAAACATTACTCTGCCTTCATATTTCAATAAATACTACGATTTAAGGAAGGAATTCAAGAAGTTCTACAAAACAGATACTATCAAAAATATCAAAGCAATGTTGGACTGTATCCTTTTGAAAAAGAAAAATGTATCAAAGCTTTTAGTCTTTGCAATACAGGTATTTTTGCAGAGATTAGTTTCCATACACCATTTTTACACCTGAACATATTGAAAACAAAAACATTTCATCAACTTCGTGTGAAAAATACACAAACATTTACACGACAACAAAACAACATTCAAACTTGTAGTAACAACCTTGCTGTTCAACATTCCCATGCCTTTTTAACAAATAGTTTGAGAAGCTAAAATATTTAATCAAAAACACCTTTGTAATTCAGAAGTTATCGCATCATACGTTTGTACATTTTCCACATTTCAAAGTAGTACAAAATGACACATCCATTGACCATCATCACCATGATTAACAATGATAGCACTTCCGGTGGTGAAGTCAGGAGGTTACTTGAAGGCTTCCGGTGGATTTAGGCCTTACACAATGTGACTTAGGCCAGTAGTTCTCATTTAGAATGCCTTCTTCATTCCATGTTCCGAAAAAAACCCAAAGCGTTTTTATAAGTTCTTTTGTCAGTCAATTGTTTGGGACTACTTTTGCGACCTAACCCACTTCTGAAAGCTGTTTGACACATTTTTTTCACTTTATGGCACTCATTTGCCATTGAATTGCCAATGAATTAAAGCTATTCAACTAATAGACTAGAATATTATGCCGAACAATACGTATTCACTTTTTATTAGGTGGGAAAGAATTTGTCTGAACTATAAAGCAAGTTGTATTATTTAGTCAATTGAAAAGAAATCTATCGCTTGTTTGACCTTGGTTCGTGTATTGTTGTAGCTTTGTTCGATTATGTTTGTTCTTATGTGGCCTCCAAAAGACCATAACCAAACCAAACCAAACCAAACCACTTTGTTGGGCTGCCATGGTTGTCTGCCATGGTTGGTTGTCTGCCATGGTTGGTTGTCTGCTATGGTTGTCTCTGAAGTTTCTAACAATTGTAGCTATTTGAATTGCGTAATACTTTCGTAGATATTGAATTATATCACAGCAAGAAACCTTGTGCTTTTCAATTGTTACTTCTTCTAAAATAGTCTAGATATACTAAAATGAAGACATTATATGTAAACATGTATTACTAAGGGCCCACCAAGGGTGAAATTTACTATACATATTTCCGTGGTCACGTTTAAGTCGTAGGTACTCGTTTTGTTAATGTAATATCATGTTATATATCATATATATGTGTAACATTTTTATCAGCTTCAGTGTTTCGTTCTTTTAATGTTGATTGTAAGTAAACGTGTCGGTTTCTAAAGAATGTTCAGGCTGTAGTTTTTCCTTTGAATTCGATGCAAATTTTTGTAACTATGTAAAAGTCCAATGCAGACTAAATTATATCAGCTTGAGTAAGCTTCATGCCCTAAATTTTCCGTTTGGATCGGTTGTTAGATTTTATATCGAAGACACTCAAAGCATAAATTTGCACCATTCCAATTTTTCTACATCGGGCTGAAGTACCAATAATGCCAAACTGGTGCATAAAAAGGGATTTAGATACAAAATAATTCTTCAAAAATAATTCAATTCAACCAAATTATCTAAAAATAGAGCTGTCTTTGAGTAAATAGCTTTTCACAAATGACTTAGGTGTACCAATTAGATATATAAGTATATTGCTCCGTGCTAATTGGATCACTAAAGCGAAAGTAATATAGATATAAGGGTCTAAGAAAACACTTACTAAGTGTTGATTCACTGTGAAAATATTAGAATCAAATTAGGGTCTGAATTAAGGGCGTTGTTCCAAGTAATTTATTCAAATGTAGTTGTGGCTTTAGTACATATGGGTCTTCATTTCATATGTCCTTGTCCTTTTTTAAAATTCCCTTTTTACGCTCCTTGTAAAGTGAGCAAATAATTGTGACGTATTTTGTACAAATAATGCAACATGAGTACATAAACCCATCCCCTCTTTCAAATACTATTACGTTTATTATTATTTTGTTAGTTTATCGTTTATTGTGAAGATGAAACTTTTAAAATAGGTAACAATATTGCACCAGATTGTACAAAGGTTTCCTGGAAAACAAAATACCGAATATGTTTCTTTTGTCGTAGGTCATAATGTTTTTTCTTGAAATCGTCACCTAATGTGCCCCACTTACAAATTTCAATATGTTGTTCCTCTGTCCATATAAAAAACACATCATCCTAAAAACAATCAATTAAAAATTCGATTAAGCCAACAGACTGTCGTGTACCTGAAATCAATGACCGTCCACTGCAGTTTAAGTTTAATGATTTTAGATAAAAGTGTGAGGCGTCAATACAAGTTGGCCCAAATGTATTGTCGAAAACATTGTCGAGCTTGTATGTTAAGCCGAACTGTTACCACTACTACTGATTAATGTCTTTAGTACACCAGCCCCCGTTTTGTCCTCCGTCCAACGGTTGTTTGAAGGGTAATCCTTGCAACATATGTGACGTCTTTGTCAGATGACCAGTCACATTGTAGTTGTAGTGTTACAGCTTGTTTTCGTATCCGTATTCATTTATATTCAAGTAATCAACATGCTATCCAAAAAAATGACCAGCTTGCAATTTTGAACGTGTCATAACTGAAACTCTAATGATTTTAGCAATTCATGCAAATTGGATTTTCTGGCATCGTATCCAAAGTCTACCTATTCCTCATTAACGAACAATCTAATCATTTGTGCTTTGCTATTGCATTTTTGTATATTAAATAGTGCAGTTTTTGCTTGAGGCTGCCTTGCCCAGTTAACGTACATGCTTTTTAAGAAATCGGATATAGGTGTAGAAATTTTCAGTTGAGACAAAAGATCGTCTGTCATGTCCGGTGTTTGTTTTAAGTTGTCATAGATCTACTGGTACTTTTGAAGAAAAGCCAAATTATTCTTTGATACACTAAATGTCCCTGTATTAGTACATAGCCTTTGAAATTTGTCTGTTTGTATGTAGATCTTTGCATTCCATACAGTAAAGCAAACGGCTTTCTCGACACCAAAGAGTTTTTGTACGTCAAGATTAAGAATCCTTCCTTGAAGTTACTCGAGCTTTATTTGGTAACTACGGTTTTTTGCCAGCTTTGCCAACACGACGACATTTGTGGATTACTTTCAAAAGTATTTTGTGTGTCTAAAAATTACCACCAGTATACGAGGAAAAGTGTTGTCACAGGACTAACTTCTGTCGTATAAAATTTTTGAAATATGATTCATGAAGACAAATAAATGTGTATATTTTTAGGATTATAAGTTTTATGATATACGTATGTTTTGAAAAGTATATTTACCAAAGGCTTTGAATATGGACGACTTATACGGTCAAAATATCATTCAGTTTGGCCCCTGGAAATATTACCATACTAAAGGTAGTTCGAAATGTAAACATAGCTTTTTCTGATAGTTTTTGCTTGAAAATGAGAAGGATTAGAACTTTTATGATAAAAACGTTTAATGAAAGTTTAATGAAGTGAAGATGTCATTTTGAGGACAAAGTGTCCTTGATATTAGTCTCTTATTTCAAGTTGGCTTTTTGTTAATAATATTATCTGTTTGTTAAAGAAAGAACAAGGGGCTAAGCTGGTAACCTTGTGGAAATCCTATTGACACAAAAAGTGATTTGAAAGAGTTTTATCATTTTATGTCTTTTGAGATGGTCACGGAAAAGAGAACAATTTAGTGGTTACCTAGTTTTCGTTATTGCACATAACACCTTTTCTTAATCAGGAACATTACACGACATTAACATACCTCTTTGATTTCTTGTATATTCTCCTTATATTTTTAATCGCCTTTCTCGGTATTTTATCATTTTCATCGAGGTAGGCCTTAAGATACTTAACTTGCAAATTCTGAACTAATTCTCTTAAGTGTTGGAAACTATTTAAACAAGCTTTAAAGATATTTACTTATATTTCGTAGACATCGCATTACCTTGCGAACGTATGTCTCGAGTTTTAAATGTCGCCAGTTTCAATTTTCAAATTTCAAGCACTATGCTTCAGTAGTTAAATATTATAATTTTCCTAAAATTATTAAATACTTGAATATAGCGATGATACTCCCTTTCGTATAGACTAAAACAGTTTTGCTATCGCGGTATACTGGCGATTACCTATAGTGATAAAGGACTCGATTGAGTCGGTATGACTTTTAAGATGAAACTATGTTAATGTACATGTATTTATACAGGTTGAATCACTTTAGCATAACGCTATCACTAAATTGGTAATGGATGGATGGTCATGTATGTCACATTATTTGTGAGGTTGAGAGCTATTTTAACCATTTTGCATTTCTTTGCATTAATATCCTTTTCCACAATTTCCGATAGTACGCATCTACGCATAACATTTCTAAAGGCCTTATCGGCGTATGTACTTGACTCCTTTGAATGAAACGATGCAATGGATTATCAATGTAAATTGGGTTTTCAATCAGAAAACTGCCCTATTATAAAGATTTGTTGCCTTGGGGTGAAGCTAAGTCATGACTGCTTCGTGTCTGGACATAGGGTGCTCGATATGACTGGCCATTTCACCCGAGCGTTTGACTTAAAACCCGTGGCTATTTTGGGTGGTAAGTTTCGTTAAGAAATGAAAAAGGCCATTCAAATATTGATGTTAAATAGTAATCTTCTTGGTATAGTCACGAGTTTGCTGTACTTTTTGTTTCTTAAGATAAGTATGTCCAGACGCAGATCTATCATACTATAACATTTACTTAAGACTTGATAACCGGGTTGCAATCAGTCGTCTTGAAAATTCACTGTGCCCTGGGGACATTTGTATATGTCACATAAGTTCAACTATACATTGTGTTTCAACGTTCTACCGATATTTCATTATGATAATGTGCATGTATCTTCTACAATTCTTAAACCATAACATAAATAATCTGACAAGTTTAGTATTCGTCACATGCTTCAACATGAATTGTCAATTTCAGAACTGATGGAATTTAGAAGTTTGATATTCTGTTTTTACCCATATTAAAGCAGTAGTCTGTTATATTCGCCAATTACTGAATATATGAATTCATTTTATAATGTTAATTCTGATTGTCAAGACACATCGACTTTTTGGTTGTTCTCTTCCAATTTGATGTACTTGTACCACTCGCGTTCCGTTAAAGTTAATGTTTGATGAAGTTCGATCTTGACAGGGTCAGCTTTTGGTATGAATCAATGTAAATATTGATCCGTAGCTACGTCATCAGCGACTTGGTCTAGAAACAAAGACGTTCTTGTTAATTTCTTAAGAAGAACCACATTCTCGTTCATAGTTCTTCCTTTTCGTGTTTGTCGTAGTCGAAATTAAACATCAAGTTTGGCCCGAGCCGATCGATGCAGTTTGTATCTTTTAAAATTAGTAACCTTGACCTAGTAAAGATAAATCATTTTACATATTTATTGTTCGCCAGTGGTTACCTTTGATACGTTTGAAGATGTTCTCACTTTGGTCCAGTTTCGTTTAGAGGAGTAGCAGACAAGAGTCCAAAACTGCACGAGAAGTCGAACGCAGCATTCTGATTTCTGGTTTATAAGCATGAATTGAAATGACAAATTTAATTCGGAAAAAAAATATTAAATTGACTTCTTTTTAAGTTTGCTTGAATGGAGAACGTTTATTTCTTTTTAGGTTCATTGACGTCAATGCAACCTTCATCAATCAATTTGTATGAGGTATTCATTATAAAAAGTGTTCATAATTTCATATAAATTATTTAATTTTTTATATTTTTTTTTCTTATGATTAATCTAAATTAACTTAAACTACCTTTATGAAAAATCACTTATTATAATTGATCGAATTAGCTGAGGGCTATTTAAGAGACTCCTTCTTTGTGCCTTTTTCACAAACATGACGAACATGATTAATTTTGATTAGTCAAAAGTTAGGCCCTATTTTCTTTTCTAGTAGGCAGGTCCTGTTAGTTTCATGCCTTGGGATATTTAGTTGCCCTTGGATCATGGCTTGGTGTAAAATTCTCTTTTGACTTGCTAGTCTTGGAGGGTATTAGCCCTCATTTCTTAAATTTCATTTCTGACGCCTTTGGTAATCCTCTGGATCAAGCCACCCTTCTGTTGATTGGCTACAAAAAGTAGAGTATTAACCTAGAGCCAAAAAATATATATTTGATATGAAAGCTAGTATTAACTTTTCTCATGGTTTGATTTGGCGAAAGCTAAATATGGCCCCGTCACTTGACAATACAAGTATGAAACAGGGCGAGGAACTTGTAAGGTGTGATGTGATAGTGATGCTGAAAGTGACGGTTTACATTTTATGTTGACGTTTCACATTTACTCTATAGAAGATTGACCGATTTTGACAAATAGAAACGACAATTTCCATGTAATTTAGGTCTTATGTTTTTCTGAGCAAAAAACTTGTTACTATTCGTCCAATATGTTTACATTTTTACCCCTATACTGTTGTACAAAAAGTGAAATACCTGGATGTAGAGTTTGACGCGAGTAAACATGGCACCGTTTATTTGACTGAACTGGAGTCACTCTAGTAATTAACCCATTCTTACAAAGTTTGCATTTAATGTTTAAACTTCTGTTTTTGCCTTGGTGGGGGCGGGGTGTAACATATAAAAATATTACTGTGCTCACTTTTACTCCCCTGTAAAATCCACCATCATAAGTGATAAAACCATAATATCGATGTCGTTTGGTTCGAAAGCAATAAACTTGTTTAATTCGAAAGAATTTTTATTGCAGTAAGAAATGAAATACATATTAACCACACCTGTAGCAATGAGTCAAATCGATTTCGGAACTCAAAACTGTTTTGTGTTAGACTTAGAATTTAAACTTGGAGTTTTATATTGATCTGGATATCAGCTGATATATCTAGAATTGTACATTTATCATTAGGTTTGCATTACAATTCGTCCAGGTGTTCCAATTCTCTGTTATATCCTCATATTATATTTCCGTTTGAAAGCAAATCAGGCAATATGAAGCTTAATTAAAGGATTTATTAGCCACAACCGTTTTGTTTGTAAATTAATAAAGTTTTGTATGGTTTTGAATAGGGGATTATCGCACAATTGACATGAATTCGCTTAAATTTGCGTACTTGCCTGTGAGATATGTACTGCCTTGCATTATTTAGACATTGTAAACCCTTTATATACTTGTATTTCGTGCTTTATTATGAATCTTTCATAGATTTTATGTATATGCTTTCCCTTCGTCTTAGCATTTCCGTGAAAATTTACAGTTCACTTCATAACACCAATGATGTTACAAATTTTCATTTAATTTGAAAAACCTGAAAAGCATGTACTCAAAGTCGTTGAAAAGGTTTTTTTCAGTTGATTTAGAGATCGTTCCTTTTCTGGTAACAGAGATGACCTCTCAATAATGAAGGTTCATTACACCTCAAATACCTTACATTTCCATTAGTTTGACACGCCTTACCTTCAATTCACTTGACAAAAATTGTTACACCACGTATATTGAATACTATATGAATGGTCTATTTTAGTACATATTGCTGTTAACAAATGGCTTATATAGTAAAACCTCATTTTCTAAAGTGTACTTTTTATTGATAAGTGCGCTCTAGATTTACTATTGTATAGTATTAAGGACAAAGTTTGTCATTTTGTGGTTCATTACATAACATTTACATTCGACTGGGAAAGAAGTTCATTACAATGATTATACTTGTACTAATCTCGAATAGGCGTTTCAAAGTATATTTTTAACTGTTAAGGCCTGATCCCATGTGTCCGATTTCTTTTGTACCTTGAATTTGAGTTTATGTCCACGTGGAACAGGCATTTATTAAAAATTTAAATTTTAAAGACTTTGATGTTATCACACACGCACTATGATTTACATTTCATAAGGCAAGGTTCTCTACTTTAACCTATCTTATTCGTGTACGTTGATAACGTTATTGCTCAGTATGTACAATTTATTCGCTAATGTGAAAATAAAGTTTTGCCTTAACCATAGAATATAGATTTAGGATTAGAAGGTGACCAGTCTGTAGAATATGGAGTTAAACAATGTCAAGAAATGGCCAGTATTGTCCATCGACTAGTCAATGATGGTAAGTAATGTTTCTTCTGATTTCATAGTCCTTCCTTTTTTTGGGATTATAACAATAGCTTAAGATGGTGCATGTACATTGTTTGAAAAATTTACAATTTGCTGACTTAATTATTTCCAATGTACAAAAAGAATCAAATTTATGCAAAGTCTACGTACGTTATAACCTTATGACCTCTACGGGGTATATCCGCCTTCAATCTGTCAAAACTGAAGCTGGTAGACTTCAACATGAAAGAACGGCTACTGGCAAATGTTCACATTATTTGCTAACGGTTTTGTCACTGAACGACAATTCGTTGGATTTTGGTTAAATATTTACCTAAGACTAACAAAACAAGGCCGCGTTCGACAGTCTTCTTATTTTTCATGATATTTACCTAAAGTTTATACGAGTTTCAGTTAACTTGATGCATTTTACACAAATATATCACTATATATCCTTTAATAGGTAATTTAAAGAGCCGTAACCTTACGTCTTCAAAGAAAATCGCTTTCCTCCACTCGAAACAAACCGAATTTGGCTTGAACCCAATTAACAAACTTGCACTATTAGATACGATTACAAAGATACTAAGTATACGAAAGTACAAATGTCTAGAAAGAAATACTTGGGCCAAAATTGAACTGTTTTGATCAGAACGATTTGCTGGCGTGTATGGTCTTTGTATGTATCACCTCTCAACGAAATATATGTGAACAAAGCTGAAATTGTGTTATTGGAAGCATATTTGTATATCCTTAATTTGGTCAAAAGCAGGATTTTGTGCGGACTTACATACATCTATGCTCATTTTACATGCATGCATGAACATGCCTGATACATTGTCTGACAAGAACAGGGAAACATGTCAATGTGGTTACCTCTACAGACCATTGTCACTCTTAAAATATCCACTATAAACAATTGAACTTGATACCCTTTCATGATTCAATATTTGTATCAAACAAAAACCGAATGCATTTAATGTTATTGGGTAAAATTGTTATGTTCATGCACTCCATTTCTAGCCTCCATTCGATGGTTGTATCATGTGATTGTACTGTGTTTGCACAGTTAGCGTTTGCATGTCAGCTGCCTTTTTGTGCTGAAGAATGATGAGCGTTTACATTTTTGCGTCATGTGATGATGATGATGATGATGATGATAATTACAATGATGCCATTGATATAGTAGATCACCAGTCATCAATACCCCACATTGTCAACGTATACGAGTTCCCTATAGTCTACTAACTGCTTCTATACATTTCGGAATGTCCATAACCCTGCAAATTAAGTTGACCAAAGCACGTTAAGAGTTGCAGAGACTATACTTCAACCGAATACACATTATCATTGGACTTACAAAAGTACTAATAGATTCTAATCTACTAAGATACTTGAAAAATGTCTTTGAGGTCTTGTGCCAAAGTTTAGTTTGCCTTTATGGCTAATTTCATGTGATCTTTGCTTGACAAAGACTGGTCGACTCAGTCATTGTTTGTGTTTATAATACCATATTTTGGAGACGGTCAAAGACAATATTTGCCTTTTGTGGGACAGAATATTTTTGATTATTTCGTTAGACATGCCTTTCCTAAAGTGTCGTGGGAATGGAAACGATTGGAATTTTTCATTCTTCTGTGATATGAAAGTTACACGTATTATGATTAACTACAAGCAATATTTCAGATTCCCAAGACTTATTTTTGAGAAATTCATCTGAAAGTTTTATCCTTTGTGTGCGTAATCATATGAATACTCCAAAGAAATCGTTGGCAATTCGAGGAATTCGGTCTATTCAAATTTGCCTGTCGAATGGTTTTCTAGTAAATTAGCACTACGTGACATTGAGATTTGCTTAGAATTAGTTTATGAACATTCTTACAAAAAGACAAGGTAAACATATATTTAGTTTGGCATTGCATTGGTGATATTGTTCACAACCAAATATCATTTTACTTAAGTAATTTTTGCTCTTTTGAATATTGTAAAAAAAATTCTCATGAGGTTCAGTGCAAGGAGATATTTTTAGCCCCTGCCTTTCAATATAAGATACAAACGTTATACGGTTTTGGCAAAAATGGATATCCTTTTTTACTTACACTAAAGGATAAAAAAAACTAAATATGAATATTGTCAAGTAGATGATATGATTTTAATATCATAACACTTATAAAATGAAAATGTAAAAATATAAACATTTTAGTGAATGCTTCATTATCATATTGTTCAAATGAAGAAGCAATTGTGCCGTAATGAAAGATGCAAATTTTAACCCGGGTCATTTCACAAAAAGATTTTTCGCCAAGCAGGAAATGACACGGTTTTGTGTTTTATATCATAATTCAACTGCAGATAATTATGTCTTAATATAAATGAAAAATTTCTTCTCTAGAGGCTTTCCGCGTTCCCAATTTTAGGCTAATATATATCAGCAAATACAATCCGGTAAAAACATTTTTTTATCACTCCCTGTATTGGTTTCTTTGAATACGAAACACTTTCACCAACACAGTTTCATAGAAAATTAGATGTTGCGATCAAATTAAAACTTGCCAATTCAGCTGTTTTGTACGAGAACTAACAACCAGGATGTGTCAAGATATATAAAAAATAATCGAATTCAATTTGGTAACAGCTTTGTATTATAGTCATTAGAATTCTACAATATTCATATATTTATTATAATTTACATGGTCTGACCTAAATTAATATAGAATGTTCATTGCATTGTGACAAATTTCTCTTAAGAGCATCGAGGATATATGAAATTGCAGTGCAAAATAGCAAGAACGTATATTTACATTTAATGATCGTAGAGTTAAGTCATTTATTATTGAAATTGGGTGTGTTGGATAGAAAATTGATCATTTAGCGAAACCGTTGAGCCAGCGAACAAGTCTAGATCCAAATTGCTGATAACGACCAACTTTTGTAGACCTAACCATTGAATATGTAATTATGGCTTTTTTCTACAAACATGTTGATAATTTCTACAAAAAAGGGGCCTTTCAGTTCTTTGCACGTTACAAAAGAAGATTGTCGTCGAAGACTTACAGGGTCGTAACGTTTCGAACGTTTCAAATTAACTGTACTGTCGGTGTAACTAAGAAACAACAATTTTATGGATATAAACTTCTATTATTATTTGGTGTTACTCTTTAAAATAAATGTAAAATGTAATATATTCAGTTCCAACAATGAGGCAATTATTTTTAATTTAACAGCTACTATTTTAATCGATCAATAATAAAGTGAAAAGTTTTATTAACCAGGACAACAGGTTGAACTAGAAAGATAGGTTTCATAAAACTAAAGGTCGAGAAAATAAAATAAGCTCAATAAACTTCCCTTGGCTACACAATAAATACTGATTAGAGGAACTAATAAACATTATAATCGGATTTAGTGAAATCGAAACCCCGCTGTAGAGGGTAATATAACCGACTATTTCTCGACATGGGGTAGCCACGTATTGCCCCCGTTACATCAGATATACATATACCGTTAACTAGACCTGAATGTTTATATCAGCCCCGGGCCATTGACGTTTTCTTATTTCTTAAATTAACCGTAAACAATATTGTTATGTTCCCGCGACTCCCTGTTGGCGAAAGGCAGACGTATCCTAACATGTTTCTTTGATTAGGCATTTATAATCAGTAATATCAGCTTTTGACGATCATGCCTCCTTAATGTTATTCTTTTGCACCTATAATGACTAAACAAATGGACATATCTAAGTCCTACTTCAATTAATCAAAGATGGCGACCATCACTTTAACCTTTCATGATTTCCGCTATAAATTTATGAAAAATAACAGCAACCTTTTTACCTATTGTTTTAGATGCGCCGAAGGGCATGTAGATATTTATATTTCATTTTTTATAAAGTTTAATCATATGGCCCTCTTTGATATTAAAATATGTAAAGTGTTAGTCTGTGATACTTATATAGGTATTTGTGTACTTCAGGGCATGTATTTGGTGATTCAGATATCGTCAGTGAAAGATTGGAACCTGGAATATGGTAAATATTTGATTTTATTGTACGGATTATGATATCACCCAAACAGGATGTCGTAGGAGGATTGGTTAAAAATAACGTATTTAGAACGAGACTGAAGAGACATCTTATTAGATTACAATGGAGACGAAAACTAGCAGAAATTGTTCTCATTTTCATTAGCTGATATAAACAAGACGCAATTGCCAGAGTTATTCCTTAGTCATATTGTTCGGCATTCAAGGGAGAAAATTGCAGAGTTACCAAGCCACACATTATCCAATGGGATGCCAAAAGTTTAATGTTACAATATAGAACTATCGAATCCAAAAATCCAGTTTTTTGTAATCAGAAAGGGTTTCTTATCAACTATACTATTATATTTGCAGTAGTAAGAATGAGTTTGTAGATGATAATACAGTAGTTAGAGCTCGAGGTCTACCATGGCAATCATCAGATCAAGATATAGCCAGATTTTTCAAGGGTCTCAATATAGCAAAGTAAGTTTTGAATACTTTCCTGTCTCAAAATTTTTACAAGTCATCACAATCAACGAAGCATATACGATAATGTCGGATACCCTCGAATAGAGAAAGTTGTTGCACCATCCAAGATAGCATCTCTGAATGCAGAGTCATTCAAGCATTAATTATGTATTTTCTGCATTTTGAATTGTTGCTCTATAATAATTTTGCTCTGTTTTCCTCTTCAGGGGTGGAGTTGCACTCTGTCTCAGTCCCCAGGGTAGAAGAAATGGTGAAGCTCTAGTTAGATTCGAATCAGAAGAACACAGAGATTTAGCTTTACGTCGACATAAACATCACATAGGTCAGAGATATATAGAAGTATATAAAGCAACAGGAAAAGATTTTATCAATGTCGCTGGTGGTAAGTTTTCAATTTCTATTCGTTATTCTGTATTCCTCCCAACGACTCTAAAGATTTGAAATAACAAACTCTGATATCAATATTATTAATATTCTTTAACAATTCTAATCACAGATGACTGTAGTGAAAACAGAAGGTATTGAGCATTTTTCATTCTTTAAGAGTCCCAAATTCCAATGTTAGCATAGCAGCATGGACTCTCCACAAAGGAGCTGACATACCCAAATCAGAGTGGGTTGGTACCCAAGATGTATACCTATTCGTATTTTGCATTTTAGGAAGTAACACTGAAGCTCAAGCTTTCCTCTCTAGAGGTGGTCAAGTCATTATCAGAATGCGAGGTTTGCCTTTCACAGCAACAACCCAACAAGTGGTATGTATTGAGTTTTACGTCAGGTCTCTTAATATCCATGTGTCCTTGGATAACTAAAGGATATCTGGATTATCACTGCATAAATTGAAATCAAAATTCGTCACTCATTGCTAATGCATTCAAATCCAAAGAGAATGTGACACGTCTAAAATTCCAAATCTATGTTGTGTTTTGTGTTGTCTTGTACAAGTAATTGTTGTCTAGTGAAGTCATCAAATTTAAGTGTTCCATCATTCATTTCATAATCTATTCATCATCTCATTATACTTTCATATCTCATCCCATAACTCTTAAGTATTAACATTTCCAAACTGTGCATTATGTTCACATGGAAAACCACTAAGTAGTTTACGTGTACACCAATAGGAGCGCTGCTTCTACGGCAAAACTGTTTTGAAGCTTATCTTGATTGCTCGTCTCATACTGCACCTTATTTTCAGTATACTGCAATCGAAGTTATCTGAAATCTAAATATTCAGATATTTTCCCGCGTAAGGTAAGACTTCTGGCAAAGGGAGTTAACAAACGATTTGGAGTGTGGTTAATTGTGGTTGGTCGCATCTATTGGTATAAACGGTCCAATCATCTTTGTAGGTTAATGGAAGGTGCGGGGCAGGTTGCTGGCTACTTCCGGTTACTTTTATTATATCCATATTATTATATCATAGGTCTGACTGTTCTTCTTCCAATCACTGGTTAATAGAGTAATATTCTTCACCGATTCTATCATATTATTATTATCATTATTATTTGTCAATTTTCTGCTGATCACTTAACATGGCTTGGGGCAGAGGGAAACGATACTCAAATACTATTTATATACCTAAAATTATGGTAGACGGCTACAAGGAGGCGGATTGGATGGTTTGGAGGCATGTGGACTAGTATGAATATGGTGTTATGAAATTTCTTTTGTAGATTTAACCAGAGTTAAATCCTCTTTTGCTTTATAATTGGCAGAAGAAAAATGCCGGGCAAACTTCAGTAGATCTTAAACTTCAGGGAATAGGATGCACAAATTCTAATCCAACAAAACGTTTGCACTCTAACAAAATATAATTACTCTTTTTCTCATAATGGCCAATAGATCAAGAAAGTCTTCCACCAAGTAGTGCCCTATCATGAATCATGACCCCCTTCCCTTCAGAGATGAATTGCTGTTTAAGAACCTCGTAGATCCGAATGTTCACCGTTCTTTGGCTTTAAAATAACGTCTGTGATCAGGAACCGGATATAGGAAAAAGCTTTATTGTTGCTTAAGAATGTCTTGTCAGGAAAAAAGGTGTCTGAAAATGCTTAAAATGATTGGGAGTGGATGTTGATGTATTGTCTCAGTTCTTGAATGGATTTTTATTATACTTAAAAAGTTTTTGAAATAAATCGGTATTTTATCCCATCTTTATTGGATCCTCTGCCCCTGCCATTTTAAGGTGGTTATGGCTGTATTTATTATATTCTTATATTTTCTAACACCTTTGTGTGATGGGTTGTTTGATTTGATTAACCATTTCAGCTCGACTTCTTTGCAAGAGAACCAAATCAATGCACAGTGCTCGATGGTGAAGATGGTATACTCTTTGTCCATTATCCAGATGGTAGATCAACGGGTGATGCGTTCGTGTTATTCTCATCCGAGGAAGAAGCTAACAAGGCTCTGAAGAAACATCGGGATATAATGGGCACACGGTATATTGAACTGTTTAAGAGCACAACTGCTGAAGTGCAACAGGTAAGAATGAAAATCCTTCATCACATTCTCACTCACAAGAACTGGTGAGAACGTATTGCGGATACAAAGGAGAAAAAACGTGATGATTGAGAAGTTCTTTAGTATCGGCTTTAGGATCCCCGGAATTATGTCAGTGTGGGCAATCATGTGGATTCTCTTTCGGAAATGTTGTGGAATGCATATGCTTCTTGTCACGTTCGGGTTTGTTTATATCTTCATCTTTGTGAGTTGCAGAACAATCGTTTCAATAACTGATAAACATATTGATTTTTCAGGTCCTAAACAGAAGTATGGATCCTCGTAATCCAGAACAACCAGAGAGTCAGTTATCACCACTAATAGCACAGATACCACAACAAGCTACGTTACCCATACTTCCTCAGAATTATATTACCAGTGGAACACGTCGGGATTGCGTTAGGTTACGGAATTTACCGAGTGGAGCTCAAGTAACTGATATTTTAACGTTTTTAGCGGAATACTCTCAGTTCATCGTGTATCAAGGCGTGCACATGGTTTACACATCGCAGGTAATTACTAACTTTAATTGTATGTTAGGGGTGTATTAAGGATGTGCTCTGATCTTGCAAAGGTGTATTTCGGACAACAATGATTTGAGGCAAAGTTTCTCATTTGGAGTATATCTTTCCGTACGTCACAAGATCATTGGGGCATCAAGATGTAGTTTTCAATCCATTATATTTTTTATCCTAGGGCGAAGCTAGTGGTGAAGCATTCATACAAATGGAGTCCGAAGAAGCAGCTGTGCTAACGTCTATCAACAGACACAGAAGGCAGATGATCTTTGCTAACAAAAAACGTATCATAGATGTCATACCATGCTCTGGAGATGACATGAGTTTAGTGCTAACCAATGGTATGCCAATGACGCAGGCTCTTCCACCAGCAGGTATTCCTTCTGCTGCTATGCCTCCAACTGCTTTGCCTCCTGCAGTTACTCCAGCAATGTTACAGAGACAATTAATTGCACAATCTGGTAAGTATTGATAATTTTACAAACTTTAGGGATTAAGAATCAAAAAGTGATGTTTTATTGCTGTCATTTGTAACTGTATATCTCAACGCCTAGATGATTTATATTTTCTTTTTTTGAATTTTAGTTTCAGCACCAACCATGATTCCGTCATCGACGATAGCTTCTTTACCATATCAGATGCCGCAACCAACTGCGATGCCAGCCGCTTTTCATCCAGCCATGACGCCAATACCACAGAGACCAGCCTACTTTCCACCAATACTTTACTGGTACCCTAGTCCTCCTGTTTCTCCTCAGAATTATTTGCCCCAAACTGGACCCTCGGTTATTGTAATGAGGGGTCTCCCTTTCAACGCGAGCGCACAAGATGTAATGAATTACTTCCAAGGTTTCCCGGAGGTATGTCAGAGCGGGCAATGGTGCAGATCTGTTCCCTGGAAGTGTTGTGACATGCGTCTCCGGTTCCGGCTACTATCGGTCTTGTTTACATATTGTTTACTTATTTTATTTTCATTTTTTTCTCTCAATCCTCCACTTCTCTTCTTGTTTACGTAAATACTTTAAGCTCGTACCTCGAGTCTTAGTAGTGTATGTGCTTTTCTCTTTACACAAAGCTTTAGTCTAAATTCTTTTCTTTTGTTTTTGTTGGTGAAAGAAACCCCTCATTACATCCCCTGTTTTCAGTTTGGGCTTTTTCTGGGTTTTGTTGTGTTTTATATGTCAACTTTGTTTTAAAGAATTTCTGTGGTGGAGCACGTTCAAGCACATTTTCCTCCAAGTCACAATTATTACGGTTTGATCGTAATGTCCAATTTCCCTTCGAAGACAATTCTCTAAGATCCTTGCTTAGTTTTAGCTTCAAATTCACAAACCAAAATTTTGCACAGTTTAAATTTTTCTGAAAGAATTCATTGTTTATTTTTGTAAATAATTCATGTGTGAAAATGATCTATTTTTTTTTTTTTTTTTTTTTAGGTAAACCCCGACACGATTCAGTTGCAAAGAAATGCAGAAGGAAAACCAAATGGTGATGCATTGATAACATTTTCATCACGTATGGAGGCAGAACGTGCAATATTGGAAAGAAACAGACGAATGCTGGGTTCCCGCTTCATAGAACTGTTTTTGGTATCCTAGACAACCTGATAAATGGCTGCTCTTTCCATGACTGATATTCCGTTTCTGTTATTTATTTAAATGTTTATGATACAAACAGGCTCTACTGTTTGTGTTGGACACATCATGTGTACTCACTCTTGAGACCTTCAACTATACCTATATTGGGTGAATTAATAAGGGTACTTTAGCTTATATAAACTGTTATCACATATCTTATCAAACCACATTATTATCTAAGCATAGTGTTATCGTATATTTTGTCTCAATTTCGTCGCCCAAATGGCTTTTTAAGGTGCAATTTCATCTGCAAAAAAGTTGTTTACATAAATTTGAATCTCCCACGTTCATTCCTGATTTGTATCACGAACGACAAAGAAGCAGAAAACATATTATCTTCTTTGATATTATTTAAGTAGACACAGACAGATGGTCTTTTCAAATAAATTGGGTGAATTCTGACATAACGTTATCAATATTTGCATATCTGCATATTGGACTAGTCAATAATAACAACTACTTCACATATCATGTTCTGTTTTCACTCAGATATATTTCATGAAAGTTAACAATATTTATCAGTTGTATATTTAATTTTGCAATGCTTATTAAGTGCTCTTATTACGATCTTCCAATTAAACGACATTCCAATGGACTTCCAAACTAAGTATATTTATATATATGATTTATATAGCACATTCCAATAATTGATCTTCCCTAAAATTGATAGGATATTAGTACATTCCATGATTATAAACTACGCAAATTTTATGTAGAACATAAATTCCAAAAGTGCTCAGTACGTTTTATATCTGGAGTCAATTCAAAATGGTGCTCAAATTTTTATTCATCAGAAATTAAATGTTATGTTAAAGATTGACAAGTTGTGTACATATTATGTTTTAATAGAATTAAATGTTTATGTTGTTTCTTGAAATAATGCTCATCGTATAGTGTATATAATATATTTTACCAAATGATCGAGTAAAAATTCTATTTATTTGGAGTCAAAATAGATTTATATTTTGTTGAAGAGAATAAATTAAATTCAAGTAAATTTATGTATGAATTATAGATTTATGATTTATTTAAAGTCGTTCCAGCCAGGAAATTACTTTTGATTTTAAACTTTTTGTGAAGATTCACATTTTTTCTAATAATTTTTGTTTTATTATATGATAGTTTTGAAGATGTTTATATTTATTGTTCGTAAGTTATATATACTAGTCAAGAAATGAATATTAAGATCTAAGGTCCTATGTGGAACTTCTATAAGTGCCTTTTTAGAACATTGATCTTGAAAACACTTCACAATATGTTGATTGCAATCTCAATTTTTGTACATTATTATATTATTTGTAAGGATTCGATTTGATGTGAAAATATCATTTTGTTCTAGTTTTTAGTACTATTTTATGAAGAACCTCAAAATTGATCAGTGGCATCTGCAATTTTCTTTAAAATCTCCTTGAAAAAAATGGAATTAAGATCTTTTCTTTTCGATTTATTTAAATAAATACGAATTCGCAAAGTTTAATAATTCCTGATGAGATATTCTATTTATTTTTATTATAATTATTTAATATAATGTGTATATATAAAGAAATATTATTTATATGTGCAATACACAAAGTCAAATGTGTGCTTGATGAATCAAAATTTGCACTATATTTTTCCATTTTGTTCAACGGAATTTGCAAATCTCTGTTTGTAGATCTAAAGCTCTCATCCGCTTCATTCAGTTTGTTTTATTTTTCCCTATTTTTTACTTTATGAATTTTATTGTCAGATGCATAAATCTTAAAAGATTTTATATTTTTAAACTTTTACTGTAGCTGTACAAATTATGTCCGATTCATCAATGCTTATTCTAAAGAGAAATGCGCATTTATTTGTAAATATTTATGTATTTGTATTTGTATACAATAATGAGGAAGTCACCAAGGATCGCTCTTGTGACGTTATCTTTTCTCGTTGTCTATTGATATATTTCATTATTTGTTCTACATTTTATAACAAAGTAAGGCATGATTGTGTAACGCTTTTTGTAAGTAACGTTCTAGTATATATATATATATATATCTAAGTCGAGAGATTTTGACAAATTTTAGTATCTTTAGATGTTTAATGTAAAAGAGATGTAGTGTAGCTACGCATAATCACAATAAACTTCTAATTCAAACAACAATGGTGATGGCTTTCTTTCTTTCATTTCAAACTCTTATGGTGGTGGCTTCTACAGACTCTAATATCCGAATTCTTTCCCCATATCTAATCTGAAATCAAACTCTTTCTAATTCTGTCAGTTCTTTTCGTTGTAAATGTTCACTTCTATGTACACTTTTTCCAGGAAGGGTACCTCTTGATTTTTATGTCAATTGGTATCATGAGATTATTTTTGTAAAATAACAACATAACTCTTCCTAATGGTTACGGTACTGATTATTCTGTCTATTCATATTGAAATTTATCTCAATTCTTTGATAGAATTTTCCTCATTGTACACTGCATTGCATTTTCATTATTCCAATAATGTGCAGAAAAGAAGGACGTAAAACTCCATTTCAGTTTCATTTTGACAGAAAAAAATTTGAGAAGGGTTCTTTCAACTCTGCTAATTTCCGTTACGTAAATTAGGTGATGCATTATAGCCATGCACTCTCTTTGTTATTTGTGCTCTACGAAGTTGAGTCTCAAAAATTAAACTTCGTAGCACTTTGTTAATGTATATTGTTATTTGTTTTTAATTATTTAAAGAAAGCTCGACAATGGACCTGTTGGTCTTGTGTATATAAGATATATATTTCAAATGCTCTTAAAATGCTAATCTTGCGCAATTCGTAAAACGTTTAGAACTAGTCAGATACTTTTAGATTTTTATTGAAATATCTTTTAAAAATATTTTTATTTTATCAAAAAAAATATATTAATAATTCAATTAATTATAAAGAATGGCGAGACTTTCGGCCTTTCTTTTGATCTTTTAAATCTTTGTCCTGGCGATAATATTGAAATTTGTAAGTATTTTCATTTAATTTATTTAAATAAATATGAATTGTAAGCGTTATATTAGAGATTTATCGAAGCCATCATTTTTATTTACTTAAGGCTTTGAAGAGTCGGTCCAAGGGGAGAAATTGTATGATTACAGTTTCTGTGACGTGGGATACGATTGGTTGCCCCAAAATTAAGGTTGTAAAAAATTGTACTTTATTTCATTGCACATGCAATAAGTCTATACAATAGGTGATATTCTGATTCTGACAAAGATCTGTAGTGAATTTCCTAACATATCCATGGAGAGTCTATTTTGAATCTGCACTGTGATCAATAAATAGGATAAAACCAAAACTACCCCCAAATAAAGTGGGCTCTCGGTGTTTGTATTTTGAATCTTCCCTGCATGTACATTTTCAATGTTCAGCTATGGTTGATACCCTGATAGCAGATGTTTCGGTTTACATTGGAATACATACAAAATAGACTATAATTTTGTTTTGCGGTGAGTTTGTAATACGTCATTTTTTGATCGAATTTATGAGTCAATTCGGAAAGGAAGTAACAACGAAGAGAGGAACAGTTAAAGGGAGATAACACTGTTTACTGCATGCATTACTTTTTGTAGTCTGAAGCCTTTATTAATGCATTTCAAATACTATTCGAAGCTTTACGATACCTTACAATAATCTGGATCAAACAACACAAGTCAATACGTCAATACATGATAGGAATTAGTAAAAATAATGATTAAGATAATATTATGAATAGTTTTATTTATAAAAATAAACTTAACAAATTTAATCCCTTTTGATAATGAATTTGCAAAAGAAAACAACTACACTATGATTCAAAGCATAAACATTGCCAATTCACTTAGTTTCAATTGCTATTTATTCGAGACTGTTTGAGTTTGGTTGGTAGATGACGATAATGTTTTGCTTCCAGCTTGAGTACGTGTGGAAGCTTTTGTTATGCGAGACCAAACTTTTGTTCCTTTTTTTTATTGACTTTTATTTTTGATATAGCCACTTCAGTTAAGTTCTAACAACAGCTCTCTTTAATGTTCGTCAAATTAACCTTTTGACCTGACTCGAGGACGCTTGCTTTAACCAATCAAATTTTTACCCTCTCTAGCGTTAGCATTTTTTGACGCAGTGTTTATCAGGTCAAGTCAGAGGATTAATTTGACGAACATTCAAGAGGGCTGTCATTAGATCTGATCTGAAGTTGCTATACATGTATAAAATAAAAGCTAATAAAAAACACTACAAAAATTTGGCACAAATATCTTTGACTGAAGGGTGAAGCATTTTGACACAGAAGCCCCAAGAAAAAGGTCTGTGTGTGATACATGGTCGAGGGACTGACATAGATGAAGCACTGTTGAAAATGAAAAATGCAAACTTTAATAAACTTATTCATAAGTTCGTATTTTCAACTGGTCTGAATATCACAATATATTCTCAATGTCAATTTCATTACTTGCATGATAGTTTGGAACTAAAGAATAACCATTCAAAATTGCAATATATCCTCAAAAGGGATATCACATAACCCTATTTCCATATCTTCTAGTGTTCCTAACGTATCACATTATTTATTCCAGTTATACCTCTCTACCATTCTATCAAATGCACGCTTGGCTTCTTCTAGAGAATAAACATCATTCTCCTTACCATGAGCAAGTCTTGCGTTAGCGTCACTTAATATTTCTGATCTCACTTGAATTAGTATTAACTGAAATATATATAAAAAAAGGCTTCATAAGTAATCATTTTCTACAACCACATAATCTAATTTCTTTCAGACATATGCAATTGGTAAGAAGTTATATTGATCAACTCTGGGACACCTGATATCACTTTTTATTTAAGAGTGTCCACATACTATTTTAGTGTTGTTATATTATCACTAACCTCTATATCATTACTTGGAGTCCAACCACTCTTAGTTAACATCTGCATACAAATACTTCCTCCAATAGTCACATGACCTACAATTATTAATTTAAAGAATGTGCGTCAATCTTATATGCCGTACTCATGGTACCGCAGAGTCAACATCTTTTTGGCGGAATCAAATTGAGGGTATTGCCCCTTTCGACCTCAGGTCAAGTCAATCTACAATTCCGAGACTTTAGTGGAATGGTAAACTGGACAGATCCTTCCTTCCAGTAGCTATATCCTCTGTTTTGGTCAATATCCGTACCATTTGCATATCATTAGCAAAATGATGAAATATTTCATCCATTGACATTATCACTGATACTGGTATCTCCAGTGTTATATATCAATGTGCTTACATTTAATTTCAATTGCTAATGAAAACTAAGATTAATATTAAATATTAGCTGGAGTGAAATTTATTGTAAGACAATTATATACCTGTAAGAAATTGAAATCTTGGTCTTATAACTCTAATAAATGGTGGACTGAAGGGATAATCTCTTGGAAACTGCATTTCTAAATTTATCACAGGCTGAAATTGAAGGACAAAAATTGAAATTTTTTAATTCTTTAATTTTGGGAACCAGGCCAGTATTCTCTAAACGGATCTTGGCGCTAGGATGTCCTAGGGTCTTAACTTCTAATACTGTTTCTAGGATATCCTAGCACTAAGATCCATAATATGTTGCTAAAAATTGATTTTTCATAAGAGTTCATAATATATGCCAACCCAATATTTAGCATCATTGAAGGGATCGATATTTTTGCTTAATTTTTAAATTTGTCATTTTGACCAGCACTAACCTGTTGATGATATTTTTGGGAATATTTGACTAAATCTTGACCTAATTTAGAATCTGTTGGTATATCTGTTAACTTCACATCCTGTAAAAATAAGATATAATACATGTAGAAAATTATACATCAAAACTTTTGGTTTTTTAAGCAGGACTGTTGATTTGGCAACATCTGCCAGTCCAGTCTGATTTTTCTCTTTTAATCAATTTTTACACAAACAGGTTTTCAAAATACTCAAGCTGAAAATTGGCAACAAATCTGAATGTTTGAGTGATTATTCACAAAAAGAAGTGTGTCTATATCATGAATATAATTTATAATACTTACCCAAACAAATAAATTGCCTCCTTTAGGACTTCCTTCTATGCCATATTTACCCTTTATTTTCTGCATATTTTTCATATCTTAAAAGTAATAAATATATTTAGAAATGATTTTCCTTAAAGCATTACTTGAATATCTACATTAAAATATATATTAATATTTGCCATTTACGAATTTAAAAAATCCTTGTTAAAATTTTTTAAAATTTTTTAAAATTTTTGAAATAATTTTTTTGGAGACTACAAATTCTCCCATATTCCATAAACAAAAATTAATCCATAGAAAAATATGCATATTTACCTTTCACTAACCTAGCCACTGCTGTAGGATTACCATCACCTCCAAAAAAATCTTCAGTATCATCATCATCATCTTCATCATCATCATCATTTTCATCTTTCCTTAAAATGTAATTACATCATGATTAATTGTATATGCTGGTCTTTTTAGAACCATACATGTTTTTTGGCAAACCCATATATTTATGGATTCTTATTTTTCAATAAACATACTTTTCTTTGGCATTTGTATCTGTGGATTCATCATTATCATCATCATTGTAATAATAGCTGTCATCATCATTATCATCACCATCATCATCATCATCATCATCTTCTTCTACTAAACCTTCATCTTCACAGTCCACAAACTCATCATCATCATCGTCATCATCATTTTCTTTCATAGCATCTTTGATAACCTATAGAAGAGATAAAAAGGACTTAAAGGGACAGATTCAGATGTTTTGGGGGGTTGATTTTAATTTTGAATATATGTAAATAATCTTCAGAAGTACTAGAAATGTACGGAAATTGCATAATCTCTCAAAAATATCTCTAAATAGGAATTTTACTTCTATTTCTATTGATTTCTTTTCGGTAAATCACAAAGTATCATTAAAAGACGAGTCGTCATTTTATCTTTCAAATGAGAATTATTCTGGACACACATGGATTTGAAGGCTCAGATCTGGACAGAAAGCTGTGAACACTATTACGGATTAGCTCAGCTAAAAAATTCCTGTTTTTGAGATTAAGGTACAATTGGTCTAATGGATGGCGAACCTATCCCTTTAAACAGAGTTTATTTTTAGTGAAATGTACAATATGAGGAATCCTTACTTTACACTGAAAATTGGAAATCTATTGAATGGTCCAAATTTATAATATCAGTGTCCCTAACACATATAATGTTCAGAAAATGTCTTTACAATCTGCTTTTTCTGACCTGTTTTAAACATGAAGATACAGAATCCAGTATAGCAGTTAAAGTAGTCTGACATGATCCACATTTTTCTATAGCTGAACTTAATTTGCTCAATATTTTTTCTTGATCACTCCATAAATGCTAAAAAAAAAAAATTACATTTGAAAATAAATAAACTTTGATACATGGAATGTCATCTATATTGTATTTTGGGTTGGAAGAAACAGTGTTTATTATCAAAAATAATTCAAGAACGAAAGAAACAAAAAAAGGATATGAGAAATTGAACAAAATCTTGTATGGAACTTAGAATTTCAAACTCCATTGTTTTCAAGGTGAGGTTTCCTTCTGGTCTCCAACACAAGCAGACGTTAGAATATTAAATAAATATCCTACCCATGTATTCTGTTGATCAAATGTGTTTTGTACAACATAAAATGAAATGTTTTTGTCTGGTATATGAAAATCTATTCTTTTTTCACTTTCATCACAGCTCAGTATGTTAAAGTCATTACCAGTCTTTGAAGTCCATTCAGTGGCTTCTTCCTTAATTATTTCAAAGTCCTTTGCTTCCATTTTAAGAAAATTCCGAAACACTTTCCTACATAGGCCAACAGAATTTTTTAGCTGACATAAACACTCTCTAGTTTCACTTTGTAATCTTCAATGTTGTCTGCTTGAAAATTCTTTTTTTTTTAAATTATGACAGACAACAAATTTTGCTCTTTCAACAGAATTGATTGGAAGTGAGGATGCGTCCCTTGACACGCTTAAGGACTTCTCTTATTTTCTAAATGCCAACAGTTCACTAAACAGGGAAATAAAATTTCATTGAATTGATGAAATTCTTCTTTTCCTGGCATGTGTCATGTCTAAATATAGTAACATAATATAAATAAACTATTTAATTTGCCGCAAACATCAAAGACAAATACGTTTTGAACATTTAATGACCTAAGTTTTGTATCAAAGTCGTGCTAAATTGAAAAGCGTACATATAATTGTCGAGTTAACTTTCTATTAGAATTCGAGGGTCAGTAATGAAATCCACAGATCAAATTGAGATTTCAAACATTTTAATTTTGTCCGATTTGGTCTATGTCCGATTTGACAACACATCACGTGATATCTAAATTAAGATCTAATCCGTTTGGAACTTTGGATATTTTGCAAGAAATACATTGAAAATAATGCACCAGGGATCTTTAGAAACTGACAGTGAAGATGAAATTCCCCCAGCGTGGGAGGAAAGGGTGACATTTGAAGGCAAAGTATATTATGCAAAGTAAGGTTGTTTTTTGTCTTGATAGATTGTTTACATTTTACCCTTATCACACCTGTGCTGCAGCAGATATCTAAAAACTAGTCCTAGTGCCTATGCCTATGCCTATATGAAAGACAATACCACAAATGAACCACTTTGACAAGGTAGCACTGATAAATGTGTGAAGAAATCTAACAAATGTGATTGGACTGATGAAAAGAACCTGTATTGAAGAAAAGATGTTTTTTACCATCTATATAAACCGAATCAAAATTTGTTTGGTAATTTTGATTGTCCAGTTACAGTATTTATCAGGGAACTGAGGGTGCTATCTTACTTTAGTATTACTTTACAATGCTTTTTTTTAGTCATGAAACTAAGGCTACACAATGGACGCACCCTACAACAGGAAAGAAAAAAGAAGTGAAAGGAGGTATGATTTTGTTTTTTGTTTCTCCTGATAATACAGCAAGACATTATGAGGTTTTTATCCTTGATACTAAAAAATTAACCCTGATACCCTGTCAGAGGGATAGACTGACTCATAGGAAACGTGATAACAAACGTTAAGGGGATTATGCATAGGTAGAGATGATATTTTAGAACTGATCTGAGTGATGCAGGCTGTTGGAAGCTGACTTGGATAAATTGTCAAGTTGTTAGGATGGGACAATAAACAGAAACCTTTGTATACTGTAGTAGAGTAAACAAGGTACCCTGGTGAAATTGGAGTAGGAAAAAATGAAATTTTTTAGTAATCTTTTTGTATTTCTTTTTATAGAATTACCTTATGGATGGGAAAGAAAAATAACAGATGAAGGAGTTGTTTTCTTTATTGAGTAAGTAGAATCTCCAAACAGAAACATGATTTATCCCTGCCACTTATCATATTCTGATAATACTGGTTTATTGCTAAGATTACCTTTGTGTTAGTATGAAAGCTGTGTATTTGAAATTAGAAATTAAACTAGTGAGTGGAAAAAGGAACGATGGCTTTTATACGCTTAAAAGATACTGAAAATTACTGTGAAAAGTCTACTAGATAGATTTTTTTACATTTGAATGCTGAACATCCATCTTTGGCTGGAATTCAAAATGAGAATAAGATTTCAGGATAAGATAAGAGTATGGTATGTAATAATCTTTTTTCCGTTGTCTGCTTTTCAGCCATGTTCATGAGAAGACAACTTATACTGATCCCAGATTAGCATTCGCTGAAGAAAAGAAAGACCCGATAATAGGATTTCGACAGAAATATGATGGTAGTTCTACAGCTCTGTCAGTATTACAGGGTCGTGATTTATCAGATCAGTATGTTATAGTGACTGGAGCTAATAGTGGAATAGGTAGGTATTACTAGGTAGTGATTTATCAGATCAGTATGTTATAGTGACTGGAGCTAATAGTGAAATAGGTAGGTATTACTAGTTAGTGATTTATCAGATCAGTATGTTATAGTGACTGGTGCTAATAGTGGAATAGGTAGGTATTACTAGGTAGTGATTTATCAGATCAGTATGTTATAGTGACTGGTGCTAATAGTGGAATAGGTAGGTATTACTAGGTAGTGATTTATCAGATCAGTATGTTATAGTGACTGGAGCTAATAGTAGAATAGGTAGGTATTACTAGGTAGTGATTTATCAGATCAGTATGTTATAGTGACTGGTGCTAATGGTGGAATAGGTAGGTATTACTAGGTAGTGATTTATCAGATCAGTATGTTATAGTGACTGGTGCTAATGGTGGAATAGGTAGGTATTACTAGGTAGTGATTTATCAGATCAGTATGTTATAGTATGCCCGAAAGTGGCAAACCTTTTCAAAACTGATCTTTTTCTTGTGAAGTTGTAGTACTTGTACATGTGTCTTGTTGTATTTTTCAGGTTATGAAACAGTTCGTTCACTGTCAAAACATGGTGCTTCAGTAGTGTTAGCATGCCGTGATATGGTGAAAGCTAATGACTGTGTTAAAGACATACAGAAAGAAAATCCCATGGCTAAGGTGGAAGCCATGTTCCTGGATTTAGCTAAACTATCGACTGTTAAAAAATTTGCTGAAAATTATTTAGCTAAAGATCGGTAAGTTCCTTTAAAGTCATTTGATGCCATAAGTTTTTGTGGAATTTAAAGAACCACAGATATCTGATTGAAAATTAAAATGGTGCATATCATACCAGTTTTTTTAGATTTTGGAAACTAATTAAAAATATGTTTCAATATTTTGAGATCTCCATTACCTATAGAAAACTTGTTTCTAGCTCTCAAAAGGCAGTGACTATTTTGGTGATAATTTTAATATTAGAGTTTACTAGAAATAAAAGGAAATGTAAGAATTTTTTTTTTCTTATTTTTCTTCAGGCCTTTGAATGTTTTGATACTGAATGCGGGGGTGTTTGGTTTACCATACAGTAAAACAGATGATGGATTAGAAACAACATTTCAAGTCAACCATCTAGCTCAATTTTATCTTACACAATTATTAACAGAATTATTAATCAAATCCAGCCCTTCAAGAGTTATTGTTGTATCCAGTGAGTCACATAGGTAAGATTACTTATATACTTATACATGTATTACTTTATACTTATAAAGAAAACCTCTTTACACTGATAGCATCAATTTGCACCAATCCAATTTTCAATTAGACGTCTGTGGTTCCTACAATTAGAAATAAGGGACAGATGCACCATTTTTTGGTTGATTTGTGTCTTGAATATATTTAAATAGCTTTCAGAAGTACTAGTACTTCAAAAATATCTTAAACTAGGAATTTCTTTTCTTGTTTCTATAGATGTATTTTTCTATATCTATCAGTGTCTCAAGAAAAGAGAAAGTCTTTTTAACTTTCAAATACATATAATTCTGGACACACATGGGCTTGAAGGCTAAAAATTCAAAGTTGAGCTGTAGACATTATTATTGATTAGCTTAGCTAAAACATTCCAGTTTCTGAGACTAAGGTAGTATTGGTAAACATGATGGCACAGCTGTCCCTTTAAAACACAAGATGGAAGTTTAAACTGTTCATTATTCCAAGCAATTATAACCATAAGACACTATATAATGACTAATATAAGTTCTTAATTATTTTAGATTTACAGATTTGAATCGTAATAACATCAACACCTCTAAATTATCACCAAGTTATGCTCAATATTCAGATTTAAAAGCCTACAATTTATCAAAAATATGTAACGTGGCGTTTAGTATGGAGTTAAATAGAAGATTACGTAGTAGAAATGTAACATCCCTGTCATTACACCCTGGTAATATGATGTCAACAAGTCTACAACGTAACTGGTGGCTGTATAGATTACTCTTTACACTAGTCAGACCATTTACTAAGTCCATGGTAAGGTTAACTTGATTTATTCAGGCCTATATTGTGTGACATTGTCCTGTATTAATGTAATGTCATTTCATGTATTCTTGTAATGTCCCATGTGATGCTATCTTTGTGATGTCCTTTATTTCTGTAAAGTTCTTTATTTCTGTAGTATTAGTAATAGCATTTGAGTAATATTTCCATGTAATGTCCTTTATTTCTGTAAAGTTCTTTAATTCTGTAGTATTAGTAATTAGCATTTGAGTAATATTTCCATGTAATGTCCTTTATTCCTGTTATGTCCTTTTTTCCTGTAGAGCTCTATAGTAACAGTAATATCATTTGAGTAATATTTCCATGTAATGTCCTTTATTTCTGTAAAGTTCTTTATTTCTGTAGTATTAGTAATAGCATTTGAGTAATATTTCCATGTAATGTCCTTTATTCCTGTTATGTCCTTTTTTCCTGTAGAGCTCTATAGTAACAGTAATATCATTTGAGTAATATTTCCATGTAATGTCCTTTATTTCTGTAAAGTTCTTTATTTCTGTAGTATTAGTAATAGCATTTGAGTAATATTTCCATGTAATGTCCTTTATTCCTGTAATGTCCTTTATTCCTGTAAAGCTCTATAGTATTAGTAATAGCATTTGAGTAATATTTCCATGTAATGTCCTTTATTCCTGTTATGTCCTTTTTTCCTGTAAAGCTCTATAGTAACAGTAATATCATTTGAGTAATATTTCCATGTAATGTCCTTTATTTCTGTAAAGTTCTTTATTTCTGTAGTATTAGTAATAGCATTTGAGTAATATTTCCATGTAATGTCCTTTATTCTTGATATGTATTTTTGTAATGTCCTATAATGTCCTATATTTCTGAAATATCCTGTATTTGTGGAATGACCTATCCAATACTAAAAGCTATTGTACGAAGGCCCTGTTAGCTGTCCACTGTGATTATACAAAAACAAATTACAGTTGTTCTATTGTAGTTATCTCCCTTTTACTTCTAAATACAAAAGTTGGTTTGCAAGAACCACAAATTTCTGACTGAAATTTAGAATGGTCAAAATTGATGCTATCAGTATCCCCGTCCACTAAACAATGCCCTTTAACCTTTCACCTTTTTAAAACTGCTTGTGTAATTATTTTACAGCAACAAGGAGCAGCAACTACTGTTTTATGTGCAGCAAGTAAAGAATTAGAAGGAATTGGGGGTTTATATTTTAATAATTGTTATAGATGTCCAGCATCAGAAGCTGCCTGTGATCCAGTTTTAGCTGATAAATTATGGACATTAAGTGAAAACATGTTAGAAGATTGTTTATCCCATGCACCTAGTTGACAGGGTGAGTACAGAACCATTTGTAACCTTTTGCATGTGTACTAGTATCTTACTATGCGATTATACTTAAAAGGGACAGATGTGCCATTTTTTTTTTATAAATAGTCTCAAAAACAGGAGTTTTTTTTAGCTAATCCAGTCAGTAATAGTGTTCACTGATCACCGTTGAAATTTAAGCCTTCACATCTATGTGTGTCCAGAAGTATCTACATTTGAAAGTTAAAAAGACAAGTCAGTCGTCTTTTTTGGGACACTGCAATATATGGGAAAGATATTTTTGAAGGAATTCTGCGATTTTCGTACATTTCTAGAACTTCTGAAGACTATTTACATTTCTTCAAGACTCAAATCAACTACCCAAAATAGCACACTTCTCCCTTTAAGACTGACAATTATATAATATGTATCAGATTTTGGGATATCTGTGTATCTGACAGTGGTGGCTCCATCTTCATGGAAAAGAAGGTACAAATACATATAGGGGCAGATTACCCTAATAGGGTACAACTGTCCAGATTGAGATTCCAAATGCAGAAGTGCTGATGAACTGCCATAGGCACGAGCCTGCCATGGATGGTGAAAGTGAGTTCTCCCCCAGAAAAATGGAATTTATTTGTTCATTTGGATACATAATTAAGGCAAAAATGTATGAAAATAAAATTTGAATTTTGCAAGAAATGAATCTAGACATATATCTTTTCTCATTCAAAAACGTGTTTGTTTTACAATATCTTGGGTCCTTTGGGTGATTAACACAAAAAACACCATAGAACACAGAAGCATCGCTCTCTTGCTGATCTGACACTATATTCTGAAGTATTGAAATCATGTTATTTAATTAAAGGGGAACATTGGACATTTTCGGAGATTTTATTATGGTCTTTATTATGCTTTAATAAACTTAAGAAGTATTTGAACGAACGAAAATCGCATAATCCCTTCAAATATACCTCAAAATCTAGAAATTTCACTGTCTATTTATATATATGTTTTCTATATATGGCATAGTCTCACTCAAATTCATGTCGAATTTTTAACTTTCAAATGCGAATAATTATGGATACTCATGGATTTGAAGGCTCAAATTTCAACGATGAGCTGTGGACACTATTACTGATTATGTAAGCTAAAAAAATTCCTGTTACTAAGGTATGATTGGTCGAACAGATAGTGATGGTGCTTCTTTAAGTAATTGATTGTTGATAGTCAATTAACATTTAATGTTCAGTTAATTGAGATTATATATGATAATGTGTGACATAAAGTTTTTAATTGAAGTGATTAAAAAATAAATGTCAAAATGTCTAATACCGTATATTTCCGAATATAAATGCGCACCCGTGTATAATGCACACCCCTTCCTTTTCCTATTAAAATCGCAAAAAATCCATTTACCTGTGTATATAGCGCACCCCTTGTTTACGAAAAAATTTGAAGTCAGACTTGGCACATCACAGACACCATTATCATCCCGTATATTTGACACGATATCATCTATTTGTATAAATGCATTTGTTTGTACAATTGAGTCGTTGGCCTATCGAGAATTTCAGGGTAAAAACCTGCGCATTATACACGGAAATATACGGTACATAGGGTTAAATTTATATTGAAAAATTTAACTAGGAATTCATAATTAGCCAAATTAGAAGAGAATTCCCTTCAAAATTCCAATGAGTGACCGATCAAGAAAGGTCAAAAAGTCTTTTTTTGTTTATCCAGACTGTACATACATTGACATTTATGATTGGTTAAACTCTTAATTTTATGCAATAAGCAAAGTTTGGTATGATAATTCATTAGAAACACCAATTAATCAAATAGTTTGCTTAATTTGACACTAAAAAACAAGGAAACCCATCTTTAAGGCCTCTGATTTGCTGTATTTGATAAGGTACAATTAAATTCCTTCATTTACAAACTTCCATGATACAAGAAAAGTGATTACTGCAGTCAAGGTATTAATACCAGGTTTGTAATAGCTTGACATTGTCAAGATGACATAAACTTAGAATGTAGAAAAGTTGGCTTTAATTTAAAAGTTTTCAATTTACATCTGAGTTATTTTCTCTAGAAGGAATTTATAGGATTGGGTTTGATCTAATTAAGATCAGTTACAATCACTTCCAGACAAATTGTTTAAATATTGTCTGAGTAAAGCATTAAGCAAAAAGATTTAATTTTGTCCATTATTTTTATGTGAATTAGAGTATTAAGCCTCAAAATAGTTAGTCTATTATTAATTTGTGTTGATAAAATTATAATTATTTATAAGTTTACATTGAAAAGAAACACATTTCTCTCCTACAAATTTCAATCAAAAATGTCCCAAATTTCAGCTGAAAATGATCTTCTGTAAAAGTAGATTTTGATGACATAATGTGTGCTTATGTTTATGTTTTTATCAAAGCAAAGACATTCTAAGATATTCTGATATTCCAATTCTCATAAAAATAAAGGGAAAAATACAAAAAACCTTTTATTTTATATTGCTCAGATAATAGTAGTATATTGTGGACTATATTTGATACATTAAATTTAATCATTAAAATAGCACATTAATAATCTATATAGAAAGCAGGGAAGTCTGATAACTTTAATATCTGTTTGATATTTTTTGTTTTGTTCTTAGAGTTGATATCTTTAGACTGTTTATTATATCCACCCACTAGAAAGTGAACACCTGTGACTAAAATAAAATCAATTTCTAGCCTATATTTTAGCCTTCTTACATAAATTGAAAGGTTTTTTTATAACCTTGGGTATACATTAATTCCAGGTGTTAGTTGCTAAAAAAATATATAATCATCTAATGATTTATTTAAGTTAATTTCTACTACCTGTAGAACCCCTGCCATTTTTTAATGGTGACATGCAACTTTGTTTGCTTTGTACAACAACATAGGTCTTGTGTATAAGTGGGAACTGCGGTGGCTTAATGAGATGCCACACTAACCTGCAGGTCCAGGGTTCAATTCTGGCATAGGACAAAGATAGTACCTTTGAATTGTGGAAGTTTCGTTTTGAGGTTTGAATCGTTAGTACTTGATTTATTTATTGCAACAGACCTACTCTAAGCCAAATTGATGACATCAAATTTTGTAGAGTTGACGTTTCTTCTGCTGTTAAGTGCTCTTCATGTTTATTTATGGACTGACCAAGCTGAAATGAAATTACTATTATCTGGGAATTTGAACAATTAATGAGTGTATTCTTTGTTTTTTTGTCATGATATACTAAACTTTACCAGTAGATATAAGACATACATGTAATCAAACCATCTAGAACATGGTTGGCTTTCTATGCCACCATTATTGTAAATTATACGACTACTAATAGTTATTTTATACATGTGAATAATTTAATAATATATTGACAAACTTTCACATTCGTTTATAATTTAGCTACAGGTACAGATAATTTATATCTGTTATACTATAGAGATTAGGAATTTAAGGTTGTAATATTGCGGTTAAGCAATGTTACGAAAGCTTAGGGTGATTGAAGAGTAACAAGTTAATTGTGATGCTAATATGCAATGAACTAAATCAAAGTAAGTCATAACGGTTACCGTAGCATATAAATCTTCTTGGACCTAATAAAGAAATTCATAATACTTATAATCTACATTTACGGAAATAACATTATTGGGAAAATTGTCTGTGGAAAATACAGAATCATAAAAACTCTTACTACTTCAAATTTTCTGGAATAATGAAGAAAAGCGATTAATGGCTGCAGGTATAGAAAGTAAATTGTTTTAGACTATTATATACTATAAAGTACAAAGACAGTTAATAAAATGAAAATATTTAATTCTGTTAGATCACTCTACATCATCGGTGGGGTCAAGTCGACCACCAACAACTAGATCCTGTAGATTTTTATTTTTCGAATAATCTATGACTAATTTTTTGTAAAAAATAGTGGGAAATTTATTTTGTTACTCTGTGTAGTATCTTTTGATAATTCGGGATGCTTATAGTTGAACATTGACTTATTGAGAGATTACATAAAAACATGTTGGTTTTACAATGTTCTGGATCAGAAGAAATCATTTTACAGTTGATACATCTTCAGAACATAGACTAATGACTACATAAAAACACAATTGTTTATACTATTTGTTGAAATAATTTTGTGTTGGTGATCAGATTTTTTTGTTGCTTTTTCAACAACATTCCTTCAAATTGTTTTTGCTGGGCCACCTTCCTTTAAATTTATTCAAAGCTTAGATAAGTAAATTTGTGATTCAGTAATATATGTTCTATAGAATTACAGAAATTTGCCTTCAATGTACTGTTTTGTATGAATGATGAAATTTGTATAAAGTAATTTATTTATCTCTTGTAATTAGACCAATCAATACTCATCAAGAGATTTGCTGCGCTTGAATTCACCCAGCTTCCTGTTGTTTTTATTTATTTATTATCTACGGGAATTGTTGAGAGTGGTTTCTAGGTTAGTGTATGTTCGTGCTACCATGCAACTCAAGTAAACATTTCCCCCCAAAATAACCTCTTCAATTATTAACTTTATTGAATAAATGTCAACTCTCTTCTATTGTTTATTATCGTTTTGTTTTGACTTTCATCGTTTATTATAATGTAAAAATGACATCTTCGTTATCAGCTTCAATCAGACAATCACATTATCTCTGCCTATAGCCAATAATAGATTCCCTGGGGATGAATTAAAAGTTTTGCAATAAAGGGTCTAGGTCAATGACATGCATCCATAGAAATTAACCTATAGGTAGAAATTAAATTGTTATATTGGTTGAAACCTGGAACCAGCCCACGCATTAGAGTTGGTCTCAAAGAGGCTGGTCCCAAGCAAATGAGAATTGAGCCCTAGCACGAATCACTCGGGGGAAAAAAAGATCTATTTCATCCAAAAATGGTTTGTCTCAGATCACTGGAAATGTCATTTCAAGGCTTCTTTTCCTTCTAAAATTCTTGGTGGAGATAGGCTATATTAACCCCACCTTGACACAAAAT